CGTCAGATACGATGTAAAACTTTAAGTAAATTAGTTAATTGTGAATTTTATGAAGAATAAATAAAATACCCTTTATATGAAAATTAATTGTTTCAATTGTTTTTGTTACTATTTTCTTATGATGAAAAAGTAATTTTGTTTAATTAATTGTTAGTAAAGCGTAATGTTATTTTAAAGGTAATAGGTTCGCCCTAAACTTTACTGTAATGTTCGCTTAATTAATTTTAATTGGACAAATACATGGTGAATTTAATGTCATAACAAGAATTATGAAATGAATAAAATATAAACTTTTGTAAAGAGAACTATCGTATTTTGAAAGAAGATAATGGATGAAATATCGTGGCGAGAGCTATCGCAATTTGAAAGTTAAGTAGTAATAGAACTAAACCAAGCAAGAATGTTAATGTTTCGCTGAGAGCACATATAACAGAAGCAGGGAACTTTGTTTACCGCCGGGTGGCAGACGGGGGTGACACCGTATTCTAAAACAGATTGAACATCTCTAGCGTGTATCGCTTCTTGATATGATATACCTAGTCTATTTGAAAAGACTGATTTTTTCGTGCGACCTTTCCATCGATCGTAGATTAAATTGGCATGAAAAGCTTTACTATTAACTATGCCATCAGGATTGGAGACAGGATCTTTTGATTTGTGATGTAGTATATCACTAAAAAATTGTCGTTGATGCATAACACACGCTCGTCTATGTTTCGACATGACAAAAGGAACAGGTATATTACATATATGCGGGGTCGAAGAGAATCCAGGGTGAATAAAACTTTGTTGACAGGGGGTATATATCCCAAAATGAAAACGATATCGTTTATAAGTAAAATAGAAAAAAGTTTTCGTAATACGATTTCGTTCAGTATTACTATGATCATGTGAATAGACCATCATATGTCGAGCCAATAATTTATCTCGTATGTAGTTAAAATATTTTTGCTGAATACGGCGTGGCAACACTCTTTGTGAGGAAAAAAAGTGTGTGAGCATACAACTCATTTGGTATTTAGCGTTCGGAATTGTACTTGTGTTATTATAACTAATCGGTTTAGTGTTCATGTGGTAATCATTTGTGTGTATCTTGAGATGAATATCATTGGTGTTCTGAGGATGATCATCTAACTCAAAAAAGAAACTTCTTGAACGTCGGATTTCATAAATCCTGTTATATCCGGATCGTCGTGGAAGAGTCACGTGAAATTTGGAAAAAGAGATCTTCAAAGGATTATTTTTCCCAGGCGAAGAGGATTTTTCTATAGTACGAATAGGCCTTAATAAACGTGGACGTTTTTTCCTTTTTTTCTTTTCAATAGGTAATATCACCGGAGGAGAAGATATCGTATCCTTTAAGGGTGTAGGAGGTGTAACAGGAGCTCGTGAGGGTATTGGAGTAATGAGAGGGAGGTTAGAGAAGTCATTCTTATTCTCATAACCGGAGTAAATATCTCTGAAGTCCGCGGCGTCTGCTCGCGGAAAGCCTGACATATCTTGGGTGTTGTATGTAGGAACCAAAACCTTGGATACGACCAAGGCGCCCGGTTGGGCCTCTATCCCCTTGGCGTTTCAAATAGAAACTAAAAAAAACGAACTTTGCAAAATTACTGCGGAAAACTAACAAAATAAAAAAAAGGGGAAAGAGTTTTTTTTTTTTTAACTTTGAGATCGTGACCTCATGTGGCCTATTCCGATATATTATCTAATGATAGCACGTGATTTAAAACAGATGTTTTAAAACAATTTAAATCAGTTGAAACATTGATTGGCATAACCTTTTTTGTAATTTTAAACAACCTTTAGTTTTTTTAAAATTATTTCTCGTGGAAGACCATCATCAGATGACGTCCGTGAGCACTTTGAAAAAGTTACAGAAGTTGATGGACGTGGTCGAAAAAACACCTCGTCAAAAGTGTAATTATTGCGGAAATGACATTATTGATTTAATTGATCAATTAAAAGATTATTTGATGAAAAATGTACAAAAATGTATTACGTAATAAAGTGCTTAATGTTTTAAAACATTCTCCCTAATAGTAGCAGTAAAATCTTAGGATAGGTACAATTAATCAATTATATTAGGTTAGAAATAGCCCATTACTAATGGGCCATTAGTAATATAGTTAAATTTTTTCCATCATTGACGGAAATGACCTTGAGTTGATCTACGTGACGTATGTTACAACAGAATTATTAATAGTGAAAAAATTGAACTGTAAACTAAACAGTTAAATTTTTTTTTATATAACTAATATTTTTTTAATAAAGTTTAAACATAATCGCATATAGTAAAGTTTTGATGAAATTTTTTTCAATAATATTTAATGAATTATATTGTCTATTTGATATATTGATTTCTTTCTTTATTTTTTATAGCACGTGGAAAGTATTTGTTGGTATCAAAAAAGGCAAAATTTCATTATCATGTCAATACTATGTCGATGCTGGCTATTGGGCATTGGCAAAATAGTAATTCATTTGAAACGTATATTATATTTAATGCTAATAATAATAAATAACAAAAATTACTCATAATATATATCATAATCAAACATATAACTAATTTTCTTCAGTTACAATGTACACGTTTTAGGCAATGTTAGTATAAATTTAAATTGATAGTGGGAAAAATAGTTTTACCAACCAATGAATACAAATACAATTTTTATCAAAAATATAAGCAATGAATCAGCTTCACAATTAAAAAAAAGTGAAAACTTATTACATTTATTATTAAAGTATTAATTCTTTATAATATGATACACTTCAATCTCTTCTACAGAAAATACTTCCTCAGTTTCCCTAATCTCTTTTTCATAAGAATGCTTTCTACAATGACTCATATCATAAAAATCGTTTCCATATAAAATAAGGTCAGAGTTACCAAATGATGGTCCGAAACTATAACTTCTCCATTCACCATTCCATATAGCTTTATTTTCATTCTTTACACGGCTTAAAATATGATTTTCAATACTATTACTATTATCAAAGGAGAATATAAAACTATCTTTAGTACTGCTATAATCACCAGCAGATTTCCATTCAACTGGATTATACCCTCCAAGGATTTTATCACTACCTTTCACTTTAACAATTGTTACAGTACGAGGTTGATTATCACAGATTTCATGAAATTTATTAACAGAAAACCCATCACGAGATCCACAAAGCATTAATTTGAATTCGTATGAAGCTGATCTATCAATCCATTTTGAAATTAATTCAACATGTTGAATTGTAATAATTTTTGAATCGATGTATTTACGAGGTATTGATTTGCCACTTGGTCTGCTATAAGGATGTAAATTTAAAAAAATTTTCAATAAATCTACGCATAATTCCTTTGGTAAAATTTTCTTATAAGGTAACACTTTATCAGAAAATTCTTTAGAAGTAAAATTACAAAATCTAATAAAAGGAATACATTGTCGCAACGTATTTTTTAATGTATTAAAATCATCTTTTAAAAAATTTGTAGGATCAGAGGGAAGTTCAGGATTTTGAGCAAATCCCCATTTAAGCACATGTTCCCAAACCTGGATTTCACTCATCTGAAGTTCATCATTTTGAATAATTAAAATCAAAACTTTTTCCGGAATTAAAGAGAAGTTAAGCGATTTGAGTATCTTATCTGGTTTCTTTATTATAAAATCGTTACAATACCTTTGAAGTTCTAAGAAAGAATCATTTTTAAAACTCGTCTGATACACCAGGTTAAAATTTTGTTCTATCCAACTTGCATTGTTTTCAACCAAAAAAGATTGTAAATAGTTGTTCAATTCCTGAAGACTTAATTCGTTAGCAGTAACCAAAATTTTAAAGATATCAGAAATATCATCATATTCTTCCAAAGTAAGTTTTCCTCCATAAATATACCTAAGATAAAAAACGTACGTATGAATAATTTTAATCGCTCGGTTTTACGGTATTTATCATAATAATTTTTTAAATTTTTTTCTTACCTTAAAATTATCTGAAAAATTTCAGGTGAAATATTAGGTAATTTTATATGTACCAAAGTTCCATCATTATTTTTTTTATTTGTTGACAAAATTCTTCGCAAATAAGGAGAACGATAATTTAATATAACCATATGAGCTTTAAATATTTTTACGTTAGGGTCATTACCAACTTCAATAGTAATATCATAATATTCGTCATCATCTAAAATTTCAAGTAAATTTTGTGATAATTTTGGTAAAAATTTATTACCAGCCATTATAAGTGTTATAATCGGTTTTACAATAAAAAAAAAAAAATTTTTAATGAGAGGGTGATGTTGAATTAATCTTTAATTTAACCTTATATTCGTGATGTGCTGCCTCAGCCACAAATTTGCAGATCATCCAGTGACTGATTCATGCAAAATAGTAAATAATGGAAATACGCAAAGCTTCCAACAGGATTACGGTAATTTTATTTAATAAAAGAATCAAAGATTGTTAAGATTTGGCATTTATTAAAAATATGTATCACTTAATACAAATGCTTTTACAGATTTATCCATATTTTACCCAGATAAATCCGGTGATTATAACATGCCCACTGTATATTTGTAAAACATAAATAAATGTAATTTTTTAAAAAACAATTTTTTTATAATAAACATCGGGTATATTATCATATTTATATTTTTATAAATATATCCAAAACTTTCATATTAAAATATCACCAAGGTTTATATTTATATGATCGTAAATCAAAAGTTAGAAAAGAACAATTTTTTCATTTATATCTAATAAAAAAAAATTACTTGTTTAGTTTTAATAAAAAAAAGATGATTTTATTATGAAAATAAAAAATCAAGCGTGTTTCATTTTTAATAAAAAAAATGATATTTTTTACTTGTATAATAAAAAAATTACTTATTTTAGTTATTTTTCATTTTAATAGATTTTTTTTACGAAAAAATCAAGTGTACTTTATTTTTTATTACCATTTTCAAAATGGTGTATGCAGTTATATTTGAATAAGAAAAAAAAGAAAACTGAATACCGATCAAATATTGGTATTTGACACAACAAACTTCCCACATCATTTTGAAAAATTGTTATAAATAATAAAAAAATTGATTCTTATTTAATAAAAAAACAACTTTTATTTTTGTTTATAAGCCTTTTTTCCGTTTTCAATAAAATAAAATGACTTTTATTTTATACCCACAAAGAAAGAAGTAAATGATATAATTTAGTAAATTAAATTTTTAAGATATTGAAAATCTAAGAAAAGAAACAATGGATAAATATTTTTTACACTTAGTTTTCGTGGTTTTTTTTTAATTTTAATTCTAATAGTAAGTAATAACAAATGAATAAGTTTGATCGTTCGATTTTTGATCGTGTTTCAAGTAGATAATTATTGGCTAACAGGATCGTGTAACTCGATCAGTGACCCGATTTTCCCGAACTACAGAAAAGTAGAATTTTTTGATCGTATTTTAAAATAGGCAAAGCACAACAAAAATTTTTACGACAACGATCAGTGTACTCAATTTTGATTTTGATCATATGTTCGGATTGGCTAACGGAATTTGCGATCAAAAATCCGAATGATCAAAATTGAACTGGCCTACTACGTGACTACGTGTCAAAGCAAGAAATATTCTGATTTTAAATAATCAATAAAAGAAAAACAAGTATAAATTACATTTTACAAAATAGCGACAATAGACGTATTTTTAGTCCTGTTTTAATTTTACGTTAAGGTGTACAAATTATTGAACATTAGGAATTATGAGGATAATAATAATATTATTATTATCTCTAGTTGAAATGTCATATTAAAATATTACATTAGTTTAAATTCCTTTTTTTTTTATTTCATGCTCCTAAACTCTTACCCGAATACCAGGGCCCCGAGCTATATATATAGAGGTAAGGTGCAGCCAAAAAAAAATTACTATTAGCTCTACGCATTTTTTCAGGGCCGGAATTATGATAATGCCAGTCAGCGTCTAAAAAAGGAAATAAATTCCGGCCGGCATTATTTATAAAAGGAATGATCTACATGATTATTTTTGGTCAATTCTACGCAAACCCTTACCCTACCTTTTTATGTATAGCTCGGGGTCCTCGAATAACCCGATCATCATGTCCAAAAATTTTATAATTTTCCTTAAAATACATATCTCGTTCTAAATAACGTATAGTAACTTCTGACCAAATTAAACTTCTTGTTACATAACACAATATTACATACTATTCTTTAATATACTATGCATTTAGAAATATTTGACATAACATTTATCAAAAACACTTATCTAACATTTAACTATTAATCAATTTCTACCCTTTTTAATATAAAATGAAGTAAAAATATTTTACGAAAAAATTCTATAAATAAAATTCAAGGTTTATAAATATCGATATCAAATTCAAGTTCAAGGGTGACGTAATCTACAGTCTAACCTCGATATACCGATATTCGATATACCGATATACTATTAAAAACTTGATATACCGATAAAATTTTATTTTCCGACTATATGTGAGGACATATAAATATCGGTATAACTTTGATATAACGATATTTCCTAAAAATTTCATATATGTCCCGACATATCGTTATATGAAGGTTTGACTGTATATTCAATTAAAAATAAATAAATAAATAAATATTATAACATATAATACCTAGATAATATTAAAAGTACTAATAAGTTATTTACCTTTATTAAAATTCATATTAATATTAATCAAATTCAATTTCTTTCGTAAGAAAGTATAAATTTTAATTTAATTAAAATTATAAAATGTTAATATAATAAAATAAAAATTAGTTAACTAATTATTATTTACCATTAATTTCATTTCCACATAATTTTTTCCTTTTAATAATTTGACCTATAAAGTTTTGATTTATTAAAAGTTTTCTTAGTTAATTTACAAATCAAATAATAAAATTTAATAACATAATACCATTGTCATCATTAACTTTAACTAAGTCTTCAAATTTTCTTTTATCTTTGAAAGAAATAATAATTATTAATAATAATATACAGTAAATGAAACAAATTAAAATAGCTTAAAATAGTAAATCTTAGTTTTACCAGTTCTAAATTTATAGACTGACTTTTTGAACTCCTTAAAGCAAGACATTACAGAATGAATCATTTTACTTAAAGGTCTACTCTTATAAATGGCACCTGGGTTATTCATTGTTACGGGCCCAATATCTGATGATTTTATAATCTTAGTTGGAATATTATTATTACAATTTTTCTCTTCATTTTTCCACATTTCTATAATTTTATCATAAATATCAGTGGTTGTTTGTCTTTTCTCTGGATCAAAATGCCAGCATTCTTTCATTAATTCAACATATCCTTCAGGCGCATTTGTGACAATCGGTGGTCGTAAACCATCGCATATATCAATAATAAGATACGTATCATGACTTCGATCCCAAAAAGGTCTTCTACCTGTCATAAATTCCCACATAATCATTTCATAACTGTATATCTCTGAAGCTTCAGTATATTTATATCCTTGAAAAACCTCTGGTGCCATATAGGGAATAATACCATAATTCTCATTATTATCTCCAGATTCAGTTGCAGATTTACTTATACCTAAGTCACCTATACATACATGATAACTTCCGGAATGTTTATTAAAAAAGATATTTCCATTACTAAAGCAATGTATCAAATCACCTAATTCATAATATGGCATAATAATCATGATATCATTGGTAATATTTACAAATACAACTAACATTTGAAGAAAGTTGATAAAATATCTTGAGCTAATAACAAAATAAATACATTAATTTATTTATTTTATATAAACGTTTTGCTAATCAGTATTAAATAAAGTACTACTATACCTCATTTAACTCTTTAGTTGTAATATTTTTGGAATTAACAAGTTTTTTGAGAACAACTGTATCATTCTTCAAACGAGTAATATTATCGATATTACGACTAATACTATACAAATGAATTGGACCATCAATCCAAGTTGCTTTATAAATTTTACTAAATCCTCCCTCAGCAATAAATTCTATATTTTTGAATTGATCATAAGGAACAAACTCCATTTTCCCTTCACTTTTGGTAAGATTAATTTGTGTATATTTGATAAAATCATCAATAACCTTGTTTCCACTTGATTTAAAAACTGATTTTAATTTGTAACACAGACGACAAAACTGATGATCTTCCCCAAAAGGTATTCTTCTTCTATTACATCCGTTACATTTCTTGTATGTTTCACCTTGTTTTGATTTAACTGGTATGGTTTGTGTTGGCTGACTTAAATGCATATTGTCTGATATTAAAAAATCAATTTTATGTCTATAATTTGTTGATTTTTTTTGAAAAAGATTATTTTTGAATGTTGTCCTATTTATAAAAAAATATTTTCAGCAATAATATTGTATTAAAACATATAATTCTTCATAGAAGTTCATAAATCGAAAAAAGTTAATACTAATATAACTAATCCAAAAATGTATCCTTGAAAATGAAAGATGAACTTAGTAATATTAAACAATATGAAATTTCATTCATTTGTTTCATTCATTTGAAGACGTTGCATGATTTCCAGTAATTGGAACGTCGATCAATTTCTGCAAAATCGAACAACGAACACATTCCGAACACGGCAATAAATGAAAAAATTTTTTTCCTTTATAAACTAAATATATAAACTTTAGTAATATAGTTGCATAAAAATATATTAAATTATATATTATCTACATATGCATTCACCTGAATTTGTTGTGTTCGGTGTGTTCGGTGTAAAATATATATTCAACATTTCAGGTTACTAACATTTCTGAAAACAGCAACAATCAATTTTTAAGATAAAAAATAAATCGGCTATTGAATATTAAATAAACACGTACGGTAATCATTAGTATCATCCGGACCCATGTCTTCTTCCGTCATTACATGAATCCGAGCTAATTTCACATCGGATCCAATGAAAATTAGTATAGCCGTCAATGACGTAACACAATATACACAATATGGCGCAACTTGAGATAACGTAACTAATCAAATGTCTGCAGCCCTAAACTTAATTAATATTGGACTGGATTTTAATTTGGTCTTTGGCCGAAAAAAGTTTCATTGCAAGGTTCCATTTTATTATTATTTTAATTTTTAAATTTGACATATTTAAAATTTTCATATAATCATGTAAAAATAGAATTTTCTATTGATTGAAAAAATTATTTGAAAAATGGATACTGAAAAGATTATAATAAAAAGAAATATATTTCCACATTAGGTATTGACATAATTAATAATTTAGTAAAGCAACACGACAAACAATTTAAAAATAGAGAATTCTAGAGCATTTGTAGAATTCTAAGAATGTTTTATTGATTTATAGAATTTACAATCGAAATTCTATAATGAAATTTTGTAAATAAATAAAGTTTCAATTTTGCTTGGAAAAATGTTTATTTATTTGGATCAATATTGTTTACGTTGTACAATAAAGAATGTTTTCTTGTTATACTTAAAGATTTAACAAATATGGTATTCGTCTACTTTACTTTAAGCTATTGCACAAAATCCTACATAGTCGTCATATTATTTGAATAATAAATGTCAATTTATATAATTTGCATTTAATTGATTCTCATATGTTATAATAATCATTCAGAAAAAAATAAAAAAAAATTGGCAAAGAATACATACAGTATCGATCCAAATAATATTCATGTAGGACATCATTAAAACGTATGGATTTACAAAAGTTCCTGAATTATGGGATTATATATTCAGTTAGTTATGAGATATGCGCCAGGAGGAGATTTACATAAGTATTTGCAGAAGAATTTTAAAAATATTAGAATCAAAAAATACATATTTTAAATCAAGTCTCATATGGGTACTTATATTTTATATTTACTGATTATACTCTTTAAATTAGGTTATTAATTTTTTATATTTTTTAGGTAAAAAATTTATGCATCGAGATTTCCATAGTGGAAACATATTATATGATTTAGGTAGTCGTGATAGATGGAATTTTAATCGACTATTCATTATTGAATGGAAAATTAGAGATTTAGGATTATCACAAGCTGTAAATAATAGATCATCAAATAATGAAATATATGGAGTAATACCTTATATTGCACCAGAAATCTTTAAAGAGTCTAAATTTTCTCAGAAAGCTGATATTTATGGGAACTTACTACGGGTAGTAAACCTTTTGCTAATGTTAAACATGATATTCATCCTAGATGTAAGATTATTGATGGAAAACGACCTAAAATTACAAGATGATACACCAGAATGTTATGCCACCTTAATGAAAAGTTGTTGGGATCCTGATCCCAAAAAAAGGCCTTCTATAAAAAATATTTATAATACTTTAATTATGTATTTGGCTATTTGCTCTCAATTTAAAATATAAAAAATAAAAAAAAATTATTTTATTAAGTGTCAATAGTACATAATTATTTATATTTTATATTGCGTGATTGTTTAAAAAAACCTTTTACATTAATGATCACCTTCGGTCTTGAACCCAAAGGTCTACAGTCCTCCGGCAAAAGAATCGAATAAATTATTTAGCAAGTTTGAAATTATTTCGGTAAACATTCAGATGGCATTATTTTTCTTGTATTTTTATATAAATGTTGTTGTTTTAAGTTTATCAATGAACTAATATCATATTTTATGAATTTTTCTTTATTAAATAAAGACTCGTAGTCAATTTATATGAATACATGTCGAGAAAAATAGAGAAACTATTAAATAATCTAAATTAATCATGGCAAAGATCACTATTATGATAATTGTAGACTAACGTTATTTTTATACACCCTATGTTAAAGATTGTACAAAAAGTATACAAGGATGTGAAAGTAGTATTGAAAAATAAAAACAATATTACCATCTAATAATTTAACGATTTTTTAAAATACTGTAACTGTTTTTAATGATAAAAATGTTTTGAAAAATAAAAGTTTAAAATCTGTCTCTTATACACATCTAGATGTGTATAAGAGACAGTACGTATATTGTTATATAATAAAGTATTATGGTATCTATTGTTTTTTATTAGGTCTAAAAAAAAAGTCAAAATGACGTGATCTTTCCATAAAAAAAAAATGACTAATATTGCGGTGCCGGTTGATCTTAAGCTATCAGATAATACTAGTCTGACTTTTAACAGATTATCTAGATTATCTAAAAACGCGTGATATTTTCGATAACTACAATAACTATTGATTAATCATTGACGCGTTTTGTAAATAATTATGTAATTATAACGCCAACGCCAACTTTCATAAGCTTAACCAATCAGAATTTGAGGATAATACAATATATATATCCTATCTATGCGAAAATTAAAAATTTCAAGCCTTTTTTATTTATTTGCTGGCAATATAAAAAAAATGGCTTATCAACGTACTATTCTTCCGCTTCATTACAACCCAGGCCTTTCACCATGCAGCAGGACTGTATGGTTTCTTACTGGGTTTCTTTTTGGTTCTTTGGTTGTGTTGGCCTTTGGAAGGCCATCACTTTTTTATGATTTCTTTAATTTTCTTTTTACTTTTTTTCATTTAGTTTTAGATTTTCACAAATCAGAAACTGGACAACAAATAGTTATTTATATCAAAAAACTATATAATAACTATTCAGTCTTCTGCTCTATAGGAAACTTGAAAGAACTAATGGAAAGGGGAAATCACATGGTACCTTCCCTTTTCATTTGGATTTTTCAAGAATATCCTGAGTCAGCTGGACATGTTTTCAGAAGGTTTAATCTGATTGCACTTAATGTGATATATAATAAAATATCAGATTACCTTTTGGATTGTGTATGTACTAATTTTAATATTTATATTTAAAATTAACTAATCTATTAAATTCATCATATTTACTTTTATAGGCAGCTGATTTTCTACTTCCTAACTGGATCTTCCTCAAAGACTGGATGAAGGGTATGGCTAAAAAGGTATTGATTTATGTATATACTAAATTTATTATTCCTCGCATTTTTTCTTCTAGGTTACCAAGTATTTTTAGAAAGCATAGATTAACTCCTGAGGACATGGTCTGAATGTATCCTTTTCTTTAATAGAGCAGAATTGTCCAGTTTCTGATTATTATTTTTTTATTTTATTTTGCCTATTATTCATTTGATACCTGGCTTATGATTGGGGCAGCATCCAGGAAATATTTAATTTTTAATGTTAAGGAATGTATTATTTATTATTGTATTTCGAAGGATTAGGGGTTGGACACTTCAAATTTTGATTTTTGGAAGTGACAGAGTATGGCGAGTGTAGGGGCCATATTCAATAGTTTTGAATTAATAAACACAAGTAATTTTGCAATGTATGAATTAAAATTATTTCAGTTTTCTAAGTGTATTTAAAATGTTCAATTATTTTTGAGTGATCAAAAAAAAAAACTCATATATTGATTTGAATTATAAAGTTGAAATATACAATATAATTGAAGGTAAAGAAATTGCACAAATAAGTACCAATGTGTAATGAGCATCTATGACATTAAAGGTATGAAGCTTAAATTTTTTTTTGTAAATCCTATTTAAAGTGATAATAACTAAATACAGTACATAATGTTATACCATCAAGACATTCAATTTATACATTTGTTATAATGACTTCTGAATGAAAACAATACATTTATTCTTTAGAAGACATGAAATTTTTCATATACAGCAGTATTATGGGAGGATCTCACAATAGAATTACGTGACTTTGATTGATCGATGGGAGCAGTAGTGTATTCTTGCAAGATTTGGCTTTATTCCGCTAAGCTGATGATTTTACGACCTAACCTCAGAAAATTATTCGTTTTCATTCCCCACTCTTTCATCTTCTCCAAAATCCCGATTCCATGTTCTCTGCCCAATGTATTCAGAGCCTCTGATCTTGATGGCTTCCTATTCCATATCGCTAGAAGTTGTTGTAGAAATCCCTTCCAGTTCCATTAGCTTGTCCTTTACCTCTTTTAGACCTTTGGGTGCATCGTTGGATGCTTTATATCATACATACTTTATTTTTTCGTCCGCGTAATGACTTCAACGATGTCCTCTGGCGCAATGTTATCTCGTTTATGTTTTATAAAATGTATATTTGTACTTTAACTCATATTATAACGAAATTATAAGAGCCTAACGATATTACTGAATACATTTGGTTATCCGCAATAGCAAAGTGTGCTAATGTTTTTCCTCTATCAACTTCATTTTTATTGATTTTAATTTAACAATCTTTTTGCCAGATTTCAATTTCCACTTCAAGTAAATATAATAATCTTTGTAATTACGTTTTAAATTTTTTATGAATTTTTTTTTAATAATGAAAATAATTTTCGGATAGACAATTATTATTATCTTTTTCTAGACATTACATGACTAGGATTCCATAAACATGGAGATTTTCTCGATTTGTCGGGTGATATTACTTATTACTATATTACATGTTGCCTTTTACTTATCTTATTTACCTTCTACTGCTGTTGTGCAGTGTTGCATACAGACATTCCTATCTAATTAAATATTAATAACTGACTGAAGTGTGTTTAACAAGCTTCGTTTAAAATTAAATTACGGTATTATGACAAACTGATCAATGAACGAATATTTTTCAGCTAGTTTAGCATTATTTTATTATAAAACACATTCGGAAGCTATGATGAAACTCAAATTAAAAATTATAATATTAAAAATACAATAGCCTTTTTGCTAAATAAATTACGTTTATCAACTGAATAAAGTTGCCGATTTTTGTCGTATCCCACATAATTTTCTAATTTAATTTTCATTATAAAGCGAATATAAAATTGGAAATAAAGATCATGCTTAAATTTGAAAAAAAAAATACATAATATTTTATAATAGAAAATCATGTTAAAAAAAAAATTATTATCGAAGCTTTACTTCAGTAATTTTACCTGAACGCATAAATTTCTCGGCTATCAGCGGGTCATTATAAAAAAATTAATTAACGGCTATATAGATAAGATTTATTTATTGTTTAATTTGTTTTAATTACATTTTTTTTTTTTCCGGAAATGTGATATTTATTTAAAACTTTTGACGAACAAACTGCGCGTTCTGTGTGCGTACTGCACGTTTTGAAGTGCTTGTAACAAGTAACATTTGATTTAATAATTAAATTGTACTACATCCGAATTTCATAGATTTATTTTATTCTTCGGCACGAAAGTTAATTAGTTTTATAGATAAATATATGACTTTAATAGCAAATATATATATAAATTTATAGAAAGAAAAAGGTTTTTTTTTTCCATAATTTTTACTTAAAAATAAAAATTTAATAAGAAAACTTAAAATAATAACGAATATCCTGGCTATATTCTATGTAATATGGTGCCGCTTTGTTGCTAAGAAGTAGAAATTGGTCCAATTTTAATATAAAATAAATTTAAAAATTATTACTTTTTTTTAATCCAATTACTTTATTTTATATAAAATCTAAAAATAATCGTGATCCGTACAAAATCCCGAAAGAATGGCATAATGCTGTGCGGTTCGGGATTTTCGGGAATGTAATAAATACACTGGATTCCTTAATGTACAGTGGGGGTGTACATTATTAATGTACGAACTGGCCGAAGTTAACGTTAACGCTATCACGTGCAAGTGCATAACTCCTAAACTCGGGCCAGTTTGTACGTTAATATTGTACACCCTTTTTTACGCCTTGCCAACTTCACATAAAATAAATAAAATAAAATAAATAATATTGTACACCCTCACTGTACGTTAAGGAACCTCATAAATACACTACCATAGTACTACCATAGGACCCCGGATAATTATAATAGAGGTCACATCCGCAGTACTAATTAAAAATCTAATGAAATATACATAAATTTTGCCGTTTTGATATACATTTTTATCATATGACCTTATTTTGTACTACAAATATCCTTTTTTATCATATGACATCAATTTACTAAAAAATAGGTCAAAATTTTATTTTATATTAAAATTATACAGCATTATCATCAATTGACTCTGTAGAAATAATCAAGTGTAATTTATCTATAGCTGAATTAAAAAATTATAGATTATCATTTCTTTTTTTCCTACGATCAAAAATCCCATATTTTCAGTGAAATTTTCGCAATTTCCCAAAAATTCATTAATTCTAAAATCATAGCTAGTCTAAATTGTAACGCTAAGGTTTAATAAACAACCCCCATTAGAAAAGACAGCTGCGGAAGTTAAATGTGAATATTGCAAATGAAGGATCTTTTCAGCAGTATTATCAATTCTGGCTAACGGTGAAAGAGTCTCATAAGGAGTATCAAAAGTAATAGAAAAGATATCAGATATATTAATATTTGAAACATGAACAGAATGAATATTAGGAGGTAGAATTGTAGAAAGTATTAATGTTTAAAAGTTTCTCGAGATATTTCATTTTGTATTGATATATAATGACATTAAAGACAAAAATTAAAACACGAAAACGCGTGTCTTAAGTCTTAACATTTTAAAAATAATTAATGGTAAATCATATTGAATCTCTGGTAAATTTATCTGACATGAAAAGCAAATAAATTTAATAAATTTAAATAATTATATTACATTGTGATAAAAAAATGAACTTTTTGAATATAAATTTATTACGTTATCATTATGATAAAATTATCTCAAGCAAAATTTGCTATTTATATTAAATTTGATGTAACACTACTGCATATTATATTCCCCACTATATTCCCCCTAAAATATACGCTTTATTAGAAAAATTACATGTGACCTTAAAATTTTACAAAAATTATATACTTATTTTACTGTGACCTAATTCAGAAGTATTCTATTTTTGCATGTGACTTTTACTTAAAATACCCGCTTTTGCATATGACCTTTTCATTAAAAATACAATAAAATATACTTTTTTTGTATATGACCTTTATTATAATTATCCGGGGTCCTACTACCATAGTACCATGTGGAAAAATTCAATCCACGTGATGCAGGCTACGCCACAGAGGCGCAGAAAATCAATCATCTGCATTCGGTAAAAAAATGGCTCATTTTTAGAATATTGCTATCTCGGAATTAATTTTTCTGCTAACCTTCTTTTGGTTAAAGTAGTTCCTATACAGTATATATACAGTGTATAACTTATTTTATATAACTATAATCATGTGATCTAAGTTATCGAATCATTTATTTCAATTAATCGTTGTTTATAATCTGAATCAACGTGGCTATAAATCTATAATAATTTATAAAATAAATTGTCAGATACAGTCAAACCTTTATATAACGATATGTCGGGACATATATGAAATTTTTAGAAAATATCGTTATATCGATATTTATATGTCCTCACATATAGTGGGAAAATAAAATTTTATCGGTATAACAAGTTTTTAATAATATATCGGTATATCGAATATCGGTATATCGAGGTTAGACTGTACTTGGATCACCGGGATAAAAGTGTTACTAATATAACTACGCATTTTTGGATAATATAAGTTATAAAATTTTCTGCTATTTTGCACCAAGTGTAAAGTAAATTTTTTATAATTTTCATTATTTTAAATTTCATAACTTACAATCGAATAAAAAAAAATTTTATAAATTTTACATTTTACAACGTAAAAGATTTAATTAGATTTAATTTCCAATATATAAATTTTCTTGATACCACACATTATTTTTTCATTTTCTAAATTTCACTTAACCCTCTTTTCGATAATAATTCCACTAGAACTTGGGTATGCAGTTGGACCGTACATCCTTCTTCCTTCAATTTTACCACTCTTTGTACAAATATTATATTTTAAGATAATGTTATGCAAAAAAAATTTGATTTCGTTTATAGCAAAATGTCTTCCAGGACATCTAAATAATTTAATGATAATTAGATTAATTTTAAAATATTTAAATATTTGCAAAAAATAAAAAAAAATTAATTATCTATTATAAACTTACGCGTGTTTACCACCTCCAAATAACATAAAATTTTTACCAATTTTTGACGCAGGAACATTTGTATCTACATGTCTAAATGGTTCAAATGATTTCGGATTTGGACCTTGTAACAATTCATCTTGATAAATATCATCAACATAAATCTTAACTGTATGATCTTTTGGTAATTGTAAACCATTAGAGAAAGTATAATCTTTTAATACAGAATGATCAAGTGCTAATATGTGACCAGTTAATCTTAAAGATTCTCTAATAAAACTATCTAATTTCTTCATATTATCAAGAGCTTCAAATGGAAGCACACCATTCTCATCAGCTTCTTTATGTACTTCCAATTGTTCTTCATATAATTCTTGTATATATTGAGGATGAGAAGCTAAATCCATGAAAGCATTTGCACAACCGTTTGATGTCGTATGAATTGAAGCGAAAAGAAATAAAAGCATTTTGTCAGCTAATGATGGATAATTAACATTATTAAAGTCAATATTTTCTTGTTCTATAATATCTTGAAGTAAATCATCAGGACGTTTCCAAGAATCACCATATTTTGCTTTCCCTTTCAAACGTTTACAAACTTGATTTTTAATATGTTTAATTAATATATTTCTATGTTTAATTGCTGGATTATATAATCCTGAACTCACGAGAATGCGATTGAGGAGTCCTGGATAAAAAAAATTAAGAAACGGTGGAATTTTTATTAATGTCGATAAATCACTTGTAAATTCTGCAAATGTTGTTACAACTTCATCATATTTCGATTCCTCCTATAAAAAAAAAAAGTAAATTTTGAAAGGAATAAATATTTAATAAAAAAAAAATTTTTAAATAATAAATATATACAAATATGGAACGTATATATACTTACTTCACCAATAAAAACATTTGCAACAGGAGTAGAAATAATTTTAATTATTAAAAAATACATATTATCAAAAACTTTTGGATCATCATGAACATTACTATCAATATATTTTTGAGTGGCAGAATGAAGACATTTTTGCATACGTTCAGAATAAAAATTTAATTTACAAAAAATATGTTCTTTAAGCAATTTTGGCATATTTAACATATTTACTAAACCCATATGTTTAAGTAATAAGTCATACGGAATTATTTCGAAAAATGCTTTCCCAAAATTAAACGCATCATCCCTTGATAATATCTCTTGCGAATATTCTTTTCCTATTAAAGTACATATAATATTTTATTGGTCAATGAACATTAAAATTATTTATATACAGTATATATATTTATAAATGTATTACCGACGATTGTTCTCACTTGACCCCATACATATATACTAAAGATACCACCATACTAATTAATACGAAAATGTAAATTGTTAATAGATTTGACGCAAAAAAAAAAGAAAACAAAAAATTTTTACTATTTTATTTACCTCCTTTTTGCATTGTTTAAGGAATTCTTCGGAATTAAACGTATAACTATAAGTATGACCGATAATTGGAATGTTATAACGAACAAGAGGTGGCATATTCTAAGAGAATATAAAAAAAATAAAATAAAAAAAAAAAACTCTATATAAAAAAAAAAAATTAATAATGAATTTAATTTTCTTACGAATTTTGGTTTGCGAACACGCTTTAAAATATAAAATGATACCAATAGAATGGATCCTAGAATGATCGTTTGATACATTTTTTTTGATATGGAAGAAATAAAAGTAAAATGGAAATATCGAAAATTTTAGACTTTTGAAGGGAGTCGATAACTTTTTGCGTGAGGGAAATAAATACGCATTTTTATATCTACTTTTGAACTTACCAAATTAAGTTAGTAAAATATTCTTTGTCATTATTCTTAAAATTAGATAATCATAATCGATTTGCTAACTCAAAAAAATATGGCGGACATGTGAATTAAAACTCTAATTCGACCAAAGTAAAAACCTTTACAATACGTACAACATGCAGATTATAAATCGTTTGAAATATCATTAATAATTTTTAATGAAAATATTAGTCATAATAAACAAATGTTCGGATACCATATCAGACATTCTTTTGTAATGGTTAAATCAATTTTATCTTAAACTTAGGTTTTAATAAACTATCATTTAAACTTTATTATAGCTTTTAACAACTAGCTAAAACTAAAATAATTTTAACATCTGGTTCGGCATCAAAAATGAATTTTGGGGCCGTCGACGATCAGAATCCTGACAAATAATATTTCGCGTTACACGCAAAATTTATTTTAAAAGTTAATATACTTTGCGAAAATTAATGATTTTATTTTAAAAATTAATACTTTTATTATTGATATTTTTAAAATTTAATAATTCTTAATGTTAATGATTCTTAATATAAATAATAAATATGAACAAAAATGTATGGTATTTTTTTATAAATTGGGTTATCACTTCTTTAATTTATTATACCATATTTCTGGTGGTATCGGGACATTTCGCTGAGCCGAAAAATAATCTTTATTCATAATGCCCCTATTTTTCGGCAGAGCTTCCTTGGCGAAATATCCTGTAACTATTTCTGGTTGAAGTAAATTGGCGTTACTTGCGTTACGATAACAAAATTTCGTATCACGGTATAATACGAACCAATTTTTGTGATTGATATCATTTATAAAATTAAAGTTTCTTTCTGATTATAAATTAGATTAACTTTACAGTTATTTGCACCCATTTTTAGTAATTAATTTCGCTTACTGAATTTTTTATCGAATCCCGTATCCCGAATATCATGAGAATCGGATATCCCGACCATCAATTTTTTTTTTCCGGATCATATTTTTTCCAATGCACTGATCTGCATTATGATTGTTACAGTGAATCGTGACACGCTTTTTCCTCCTGAGAGTCAAAGCAAATTAAAAATTTTATTAAAATAAAAAATTAAAATAGAAAATACCTTCATTATTAAGTAATAAATGATTAATAATGTATTACTAAATTTAAATGTTACACTATTATATCCAGTATCATAATCACTTTTTTATATGAAGTTGAGATATTTGATCTGCTTTTTCAAAAATAATTTTAATTTCTTTTCCCTTATGACGACCTGACGACCGAATTTTTCTTTTTCTTGATATAAACCACCAATAGAATAATACCAAATTTTTAAAATGTTCACTAATTCTTTAGCTGTTTATTTTTCACTTGAATTAGTATTCATACTTTCTTATAAAATTCAGGATCGATCAAAGGAGTTTTATGTGAAGAAACGTAAATCTATACTTAGGTGATACAATATTACATTTGCATATTTTTATAATCGTATTAAATTCAGCCGACAAGAATAATAAATCGAAAAAATAACCACGACCTGTCCCCTGTTTCACATGTATTTGAATGAATCGTTCTTGTATACCTAATATTGAACAAAAATGAACTAAAGGTCACGATTAAATTATCACCACGTACATGATGAAAAAATCTTGGGTGATTTGCTCGATCGGAAATAATTAGTTTTCACATTGACAGGCTAAAAGCTTACCGCAATATACTCATAATTTTCACCGACTAACCAAAGTAAGATATTAAACTAATAGACGGCCGATATGGTGTTATACAAATAGGTTTAATAGATTCAACCCCGTGCTTTCTTTGTCAATAAGGATTATATTTGTAATGAATAAAATTTGGACGACCTCGAGCAATACAATAACGCGTCTCTTCAGGGCGAGAATTTCCAGAATTACATAATGCTGCTTGGCATTATCCAAAAAAGGAAAGATCTATTTTTTCAAACTCTCCCACATATGACTCCATCTGATAAGTGAAATTACACACCATTTGTCATTTGTCATTTGAATCATTTGTCTGTCATTTGCCAAATAAGGTAGTACAGTGATGTTTATGTAAAAAAATTTGTTTCTAAAATGTGACACGCTTTGTATACCTTAGAAGTACTTGTCAGACAAATATTTAACTAATGAACTTTCAAAGCTGGTGTATCAACTTTCTTGAAATACGATTGGTCAGAACACGCAAAACAACATACATATTTTGATAGAAATCCAGAAATAATCGAAAATATTGTACGTTCATATAGTACATATACTGGGGGCTTTATTAGAGAGCGTGACAGTAATAGAGGTCCCAACGCACCCTCGCTTCTTATGACGGTGATGACAAGATAGTGTCGTTTGAAATTTGGGAAGCATCGAAGTTATTGTGTTGCCATTTATTTGATACTTCAGAAATGATAAATAATAAACCACCACTCTCTCTTTATCCCATTTGTTATGAAGATCACGATGAATTGGAGGTTCTCCTTATTGGTTCTAAGCCTTCATTCATCACATTCGAGAAAACTGGGGATAAAGATATTGAAGTGGGAATGGATGACGAAAATAAAATCGTAACATTATTGTTTCACAATGCAAGTAGCAGATTGGCGAAAACATTACCAGAGAACGAGAGAGACAAACTTGCAGAAGAAGCGAGGTTGAGATCATTGGAAAATGCAAAATGGGATCGTTTATTATTAAACAAGCAAGATTAATATCAACAATTTATTCAACAACATCATCATGCCAACATTATGCCAAAGAAGATGCCATAATGGAAGATTTATTAATTACAAATTTCAAGAATACGAATCTTATAAATTGACTGAAAAAGCAATATACAAATAATAAGCTAGGTGAATAAATCTAAATAGGTTTAATAACAAAGCTTTAATATAGTTAATAAAAATAATTAATTTGCGTTGTGATTTATCCAATTGTATATCTAGCAAACATAATGCAATTTTTCATACAAAATATCATTTGAACGTAATATTAAATTTCATTAAACTGATACTTAAAATTAAATTAAACTAAAATTATTTCAAACGAAATTATTTTAGCGACTTGTTAATACTAAAAATAAATTTTAACAATCAATATAGAATAAAAAAAAATACTTCGCCATTTACTTTATAGAGAAGTGGCTTTTTGGGATCGCACGTTGCCACACAAGTTATCGATAATAACCCACTTGAATCTGGATCACTTGTAATATAATCTTTTCCAAAATATATATTATTTAATATTTGTGCACCTTTGTAAAGATTATTATTATAATTCCTATTCTCTATATAATTTTTGTTATAACTTCTTCTTTATCCTTTTTCGTAATACCTAACTTTTATTAAAAGATTATTTCTATTATCTCAAATCGCTTTTATTCTTTCTTTAAAACTGTTTGTAATAAAAATACTCCATAGTTATTATATTTTACTAATACCAAGACGAATAAAAAATTCCATGATTTCTAAAGGAAAAACTCCTTTAATTAAATCTATAAAAGTTAAAGTGTTATCACGATATTCTAATTTAAACCACATCAATTTTTTAATTTTAATTATGAATGTAATATCAAAGAATCGGAAATTGTTTTATAATTTCTGTATATAAAATTTTTGCAACATTATTGATAATATCTGAAAAAATTCGCTTATTTTTTTCCAATCTTTATAAATATTACAAGAACTTTTCTTCCTTTATTCGATCATGGGTATTTCTTCGAATAATCTTTGTATTTTTATACGTTTTGCTCAACTAGAACGACAAGAAGTTTGTAAGATGTTTTCGTAATTTTTTTATATATTCAAATGTTTACATTCCAGACCACTTCCAATTTTCTATATTTACTATTTCTTCGTAAATTTAAAAATTTTAAACGGTAGTTTTATTATTCTTATATTCTTGGTTAAAAAAAAAATATATATATTTTATTGATAAATAAATATGCATTAAGTATTAAATGATTTATATAATTCTTTTAAATTCATATTTGATATCAAGAAAATGGAAATTCATAACTTTGCTTCAACTGGTTTAATTATTGGTTATTAAAATCATCCAGTTACAAATTACAATAAATTACTTCGAATAACTCGCATCGAACAGGTCAGGTGATATCAATCCGATCCGAAATATTAAAAAAATCAGTCTAAAAACGAAAAAATTGATTTTTTAATTAAGTTATGACTGATTTTTATTTAAATAATAAAAAAAATCATTATTTTTTTTTTTAAATTATAAAAATCATTATTTTTTTTATTAAAAACGAAATAAATAATAAAAAAAACGTTTTCTTACGAAAAAAACTTATTTTTATTAATAAAAAAAATCGTTCTTTTCTTTTAAAAAACAACTGATTTTTTTATTAATTCGTCATTTTTATAATATCAATTGTGCGATGATTTAATTCAAAATACTTATTTATCATCGACTTTAGGCATTCCCTCAAGAATTACTCATTTGTTAGATTTGACTGTCATTTTTTTTTTTAAATAAAAAACACAAATGTAATTTATCAAAACTGTTTATTTATGTTAGAAAAAATATGGTTTGACTTTGAAAGAATTTTCTTATGATATTTAAATTTGGCTAGCAGGGTCTAGGATGGTCAATATCTAATAACTATCAACCACCCTCAATTATTAGGGTCAGGAGAAATACTCGTCGTAGGTGTAAAAAAATTACCATGGTTGTCCCGTAATTTCTATAGAGAAAAATAAAAATGATAAACCTAATTCGGTTGACCTTAACTGACAAAGTATAATCAGTTGGTTTAATATACAATTTCTACTATGTGACGAAATAAATAAGACGAATATATGTAATGTAAAATTTAATGGTATTTCTCACTGAAATTAAAAAAGTAAACAATTAAAATTGAAATTACAGTATATGGGAACTTTCTTGAAGACCTCGATCCCAAAAATAAGTTTGAGATGAGATTAACTGCGACATCAAGTCAACGAAAAACAAGTGACATTTTCACTGATGCTGGTAATTAATGAAATAATAAACACGTGCATGCGTTAAACTAATTATCATAATAATAAATTTTAATCTTCTTTATATCATAAAGTAACAGCACTTTTGAGTCTATTATAGAGCTATTAAATGGTTATATGCTCGCAATCAAAAAATACTTAACGTATTTCTGAATATTTTATTAAAAAAGTAATAATTACTCTACTAAAATAATAGTCTTAAATAACCAAAAAAAGACAAAAATCAAAACTAGAAACTAGAACAGGAAGACGTCCTATAATATATAAATAATAAATTTCGCACGAAAGGTATAATTTTTTCACCGATAGTCATTTTCTTGTTAATACAAATGATATTAGCTGCTTTATGACCAATCACGAGATATTTTAAGACTTTAAAGGAGCCTCCTAATAGTGTATCACAACCAATAATGTATAATATTTCACCTGCAAGCCCGGAAACATAACAACTGCCAATAATCATTAAACCACCAATGGGAATTGCCGCAAAACCTGTCATATACACAATTGTTCCTGGTACCGCCATCGATGCCAACTTTATTCCCCATTCTGCAAATTTCCAAATTTTTTTCTCGTTTTCCTTCGCTGGTTTCAATATTAATTGATTTGTTTCCATAATCAAGGTTCCTTCGTTTTTACCTTGGTGACTAATATTCCCTCTGTACAAGTTATTTTTATGATTTATATATTAATAGGAACACAAGTAAGGGAAATCAGCTTATTTTGAAAAAAAAAACAAAAGCTATTCAAATTCACAAGTGCGCATGAAGTGAATATTTATTCGAACTTTCATAATATGAGATGTGACCGACATTTTTAATTTGTTGATTAACAATCATATTACTAAACATCATAACCATGTTGAACATATGAAAATGATTTTCCACATTTGTCATATGTCATACACTTTACATATTTTTTTCGTAATTATCAAGAGCTTGTGGCGGTATATTGTACCTTTCTATGTAGGTGTAAATTAAATTCTAATATCGATTATACCTATTAATTTTGTACTATTTCGCTGGTTGTATCCCATAATCACGTGCTAATATATGAGCGAGAACGCTGAAACTGATAAAAATAAACACAAACCGTACGTTTTTCACAATCACAAAATCAATCAACATAAGTTCTTGTAACACAAAAAATAATTAGATAAACAATAATAAGAAAAAAATATTTGAAATTATGTATAGACTTGATAAAATTGGATGTTTAAATGATAATTATTTATGACAAATAAAATTGTTAATGTTAATTAATAGATAATTATATAACAAAAAAAAACCCTCAAAATGAAAATAATTCATGCGTGCTACATAATTCATTGCGGCGGATTTATGAAATTTGGCAAAAACCCTGCTGCGCCCTCGGGAATTAAAATTGACTTACAGAAACATTCCTAAAAAATGTCAAATGTGACGCACCTTTAACACTGGAAAAATTGGTTAGGTAACGGAATAATTGGTTAGACGCAAGATTTGGGGTACAAAAAATTTTTTTAGGGCTCATTTTTGACTGTTCACTAATAAATTTGGGAAATTTGGTGACTAAAAGACTGTCAAATATTTATTTAATTTGACATGACGGACAAATTTAGGGTATTTCATAAATCCGCCGTGATGTATCCTGCTACTATTTCCCTTTCCTTTACCTTACTCCTCTTGATGAGGTTTTTACCTCAAAAGCAGAATTTTGAGAAAAAATTTTTTTACCAATAACCAATCAGAGTATAATTTGATTTCTTTCCGAATAGAATCATGTAATAAAATTCAGCGGCGGGCAAGATCAGTTGTTCAAGATCAGTTGTTTCTGGCAGGATCAGTTATTTCATGTGCAGACATACTGATTCGTGATATCGTTTAGGTCATATGTGCTTTGACCACATTTACTGCTTTAATCATGTTAGAGACTGCGGCATTACATCATTATGTAATTATGTAACATTTTTACTTTGTTTACATCATGCTTTTTTATTTTTTCATGTTAAAAATCATTAAGGAGTTCTTATATCCAGATCCACGCAGTACATAATCTTAATCTCTGTAGAATTTTTCTAGAACTGCATCTAGAAAAGAATGAGAAAATTTTTTTACTTTGTTCGTTGGAATTACAACTGAATTTGTACTTACGCCACATTATAATTGTCCTACGTATTGTACATGAGAGTACATATGAGCATTCTTTGAAGGAATTCTTTCATTTTCCAAGATACATTTTTTAAATTAGTTATTAACTTTTTGGGTTAAAAACTTCCACGAAGAATTATTTGTAAAATTTATATAAATTTATTATTGAAAATAAATTTATAAATTGGACTACATTCTCAAATGCCTCAAAATAAACCTAATTTTTTTCAAAACAAATTAATATATGATGGAACAATTAACAAATTATAAACATAAAATTGACTTTTTACTATCAGATAATATGCATTTATGTCAACCAGCACAAACCACGGTTAAACAAAATAGAAAAACATATAAAAAATGTAATGAATGTTATAAAAGAAAACCATTTGCTGATTATCAGATTTGTCGCATGTGTTACAAATCAAAAATAGCTTTTAAATCAAGTGGAAATAAGGTTATTGATAATTTTATCAAATATACACAAATCAATTATTCATCCCGAGATGGAAAAATGGAGTTTGTTCCCTATAATCAATTCAAAAATATAGAATTTATTGCTGAAGGAGGATTTAGTAAAATTTATAAAGCTACTTGGGTTGATGGTCCAATCAAAGGTTGGTATATACGTGATGGTGCGAATATTTCTCGTAATAATAATTATACTGTTGTTCTCAAAAAACTTCACAATTCTGAAAACTTTACACCAAAGGAACTAAATGAGGTACAGTACATGTAATATTTTAAATATTCAATATAACAATGATGTTAAATTAAGGATTTTTTATTTAGCTCAAGGTATTTTATCAGATTTATTCAAATAGAGAAACTTCTAATGAATTCATTTGCCAATATTTTGGAATTACTCAAGATCCTATTACCAAGGATATTATGATTATTATGCCATATTATGACTTAGGTGACTTGATACGCTACATAAGTAATGATTTTTATAATATTTGTTGGGATACAAAGTTGTTTAAATTACGTCGTATAATATATGCACTTAATAATATCCATAATTCAGATATTATTCACAGAGATTTACATAGTGGAAATATCTTTATAAGTGGAAGGTTTGCATATATAGGTGATCTGGGAATAAGTAAATCTGCAACTGAATCTACAGATAATAATGAGAATTATGGTATTATTCCTTATATGGCACCAGAGATTTTTCAAGGACAAAAATATACAAAAGCTTCAGATATATATAGTTTTGGAATGATTATGTGGGAGCTTATGACAGGTAGAAGACCTTTTTGGGATCGAAATCATAATACATATCTTATTATTGATATTTGTGATGGTTTACGACCACCAATTGTCACAAATGCACCTGAAGAATATATTGAATTAATGAAAGAATGCTGGCATTCTGATCCGGAGAAAAGGCCAACAGCCATTTATATATTTAAAAAACTTCTTAATATGTCGGGTTTGATAATTGAAATTGTAAAATCATCAGATATTGGTCCTGTAACAACTAATCATTCAGGTGCTGTTTATAGGAGTAGACCTTTAAATAAAATGATTCATTCCGCAATGTCTTTAAGGAGTTCAAGAAGTCTGCTGTCTACAAATTTAGAAACTGGTAAACAATTATAATATTATTTATTATAAATTATTTAATTTTGTTTATTTATGTTATTATTAATAATCATTATTTCTTTTAAAGGTAAAAGAAAGTTTGAAGATCTAGTTACAAAAAATGATGACGATGGTATTATGGATAATAAAATTTATGGTTTTATTCTGTAATTAACTAAACAAACTTCCAATAAATCAAAAACTTTATAGGTCAATGTATCAAAAAGAAAAATTTATGTGAAAATGAAATTAATGGTAAATAATTATTATTAATTAACGAATTTATTAGTATTTTTTAAAATTTACACTTTTATATGTTTCTCTAGAATATCTTACGAACGAAATTGAATTTGATGTTAATGTGAATTTTAATCAATCCCATAAACCTCATAATAAAGGTAAATAGTGTAAATAGTTTATTGGTGTTTTTAATAATATCTTAGTAATGAATGCTTTTATATGTTATAACCATTTATTTTTTAATTGAATATAGATTACATCACTCTGGAATTTGAACTTGATATCGATTTTAATAATCCTTGAATTTTATTTTTTTCTGTATATCAGATATAAATTTATAGATTTTTTATTTTATACTATAGAGGGTAGAAATTATTAATAGTTAAATATTAGTCATAGATAAATGTTATGCAAGTCTTTTAAAAACTTGTTGTCACCTGATCACCACGTTTGAGGTGCAGAAGAAACATTGATCAGGAGGGAAAGGGGAAAACGAAAGGGAAAGGAAAAACGAGAGGAAAGAGGAAAATGAGAGTGAGAGGGAAAACAATAAACCACTTTTTACAATAGACGATTATTTTAATAGAATAATTAATTATATACGTTAAAGTAAATATATTATAATTACAAAGAATGAAAAAGCAATAACTATTTAAGCCCAATATGATTATTATAAATATAAAAATCCAGAATATGCATATCAATGATATCAATGTCACTTTTTGTTTCTTATTCTGGTAAACCCGAATCTAGAAGAAAAGAAATTGCTACATTTAGATAAAGAACAAAACAAAATATGTGTAAGTACCAGATTTGAACTCCCATACAGTTCCATCTTCTAGTACGCCCATAAAATTTCACAAGGCTTCTCTGATACTGCTTTGAAAAAAATCCTCCATAAATACTAATATGCCATTCAGCAGAGAATCCCATTTGAATACATGCTCATAGCAATCCAAAAACGTAAACCAGAGTAAGATTTTCCAATAATAATTATACGATTGAAACCGCATAGTGCACTTCCATTAAGTAACTACAGTCTACGTCTACGGATACCATTATTTGATCATCACTGTGTATTTTTATACCGTCTGATTCATTTGCGGTCATTTCGGCTACCAAGGGTGGATTATTGCAAGATGTGTCGAATCTATTATTGTCTGATAATGAAGGCATGGAGGAATTATTTCTCCAATTAGGTGAGTACAATGTAGCATGACGTCAGGAGTTTTCTTCCCTCAAGGGTACCACTTCTGCACAATGGCCCCAGGAATTTGCGCAATCTTCCATTTTTTCCTTGGTTTTGACATTTAAAAATAATGTCCTCATCATTTTATCTCTCCTATTCGCTGCTCGTTTGATAATTTGGTATTTCAATTTTCTCTCTTCTTTCGTACAGTACTTCCCATCTCTCCACGAAGTGATATCAAAAAGTAATTCTTGATGCTCCCTCTCCGGATGGAAAATGTGAGATTTATCGTGGACGGACGAGCTAATGAATTCTTCTCCGTTTCCATAATCTTGTCTACAAGACCGACAGCATTTTCTCCAAGTACGCAGTTTGACTTTCGAGTTTTTTATTCAGAGGATTTACCATGTAATTGCATTTTTACTTTTTTGGAGGTCGACTTATACTGTACTTCCAAGGCAGGCTATTCCGCTATTACATCCCACACACTGATGATAAGAATCGGGTGGAGTCACCATTTTGCCCAAATGGCTATAAGACATTACAATTTGTATAAAATATGTTTTGTTAAATCACGAACGATACCTCTTTCAATTCAAGGATTCTTTTTATTATTTTCCAGGGCAGCCAATGATAATTTCACTACCCCATTTATATTTTTTTCACGTAAAAATTCACCTGTAAGGAACTATGAAATCCGGTATTGTATCTTTCATCCATGATTCGTGTAGTTTGTCTAACCAGGCGTAAGGAATAGAGAAATTAATAACAAAAAAATAATAAGTAAATACCAATTATTTCTAAGCCTAACTAATCTAAAACTACCCTAGCGTTACCCCGCAATTTTTTACGCAATGTCACGCGCGATCAAAATTAATTTTGTGATACAGCATATAGATTTAAAACATAAACTCTTTTTTAAAAGTAATCAAACTAAATTTTCCAATACGACTTATATTTAATAATTATCTCAATTAACTCGTCATTTATATACAGTACATTTTGTTTTACCAAGGGAATGATCTTTTAGATAAAACATCAACATTAATAAATTTCGCAGTACAGTATCTTTAATACACGAAAATTTATTCTTTATATTATAATACGGTAACAGTTGCACCATAATTTTTAACTTTTCATAAATTCATAAAAAATAATATCTCTTTATTAACCATAACCATAAGAGCCGCAGAAAATTTATTTAATTTGAATGATTCCCGGACCACAAATTATAACCGAGACGAAATTATGAAACTGCTCAGGAATTCAGCATACCATTCTCCCGAGCTGTCGGAAACTTGATCAACCATTCGAATAAAAAGAATAATACTTATATAAAATAAATAAGTAACATTATTCAATTACAATTTGAAATATCTCATATTCTTCTACAGAAAATTTACCTCCAATTTCTCTGATCGATTTTTCATAAGATTTTTGTTTAAAGTAACTAGTTTTATAAGAATTAAAATCCTCACCCCTCAAAATAAGATCATTACTACCAATTACCAAATGATGGTCCATTATTAATATAGCACTATATTCATCAAAAACATAACTTAAAATATAATTTCCAATATTATCACTATTATCATTATCATTTTTAAAAGAGAATATAAAACTATTAGCAGTGCTATAATTATAATTGAGTTCCCAAATTGTTGGATTATACCCTCCAAGAATTTCATTACTATTTTTAACCTTAATAATTGTTACGGTATTAGATTGATTATCACAAATTTCATGAAATTTAATAGGTGTAAACCCATCACGAGATCCACGAAGCATTAAATTGAATTCGTATGAAATTATCTTATTTGTATTATCTGTATTATCTGTAATATTTGTAATATTTGTAATATTTAATTCATCAATCCACTTTGAGATTAATTCAGCATGTTGATGCGTAATAATTTTAGAATCAATATTTTTAAATTCATTTCTCTAGTTACATGTGGTCTTGGTTTACTATTAGGATGTAAACTTAAATGATTTATTAATAAATCCTTATATAATTCTTTCGATAAAATTTTTTTATAAGGTAATACTTTATCTAAAAATTCCTTGGAACTTAAATTATAAAATCTTATAAAAGGAATATATTGTTGTAAAGTATTTTATAATATATTGAAATCATCTTTTGAGAAATTTGTAGGATCAGAAGGAATTCCTGGATTTTGTGCATGTCCCCATTTAAGTACGTGTTCCCATACATGAACTTCACCCATTTGAAAATTATCATTTTGAATAAGTGTGATCAAAATTTTTTCCGAAATTAAAGAGAAATCCATTGAATTAAATATTTTATCCGGTTCTTTAGATATTAAATCGGTACAAAATTTTTGAAGTTCTAAAAACGAATCATTTTCAAATAATGTTTGATATATCATGTTAAAATTTTGTCCCAACCAATTTGCATATTTTTCAATCAAAAAAGATTGTAAATAATTAACTAATTCTTGAAGACTTAATTCATTAGCAGCAACTAAGATTTTAATGATATCATTAGCATCATGTTCCTCTAATGGAAGTCTTCCTCCATAAATATACCTTAAAAATCGAAATCGGTGAAAAAAAAAATTTTTTAAAAAAAAAATTTAATTATTAAATAACATCATAAATTATTAAAAATTCTTTCCCACCTTAAAATTGTTTGAAAAATATCGGGTAAAATATTTGGTAATTTAATATGTACCAAATTTTCATCATTATTCTTTAAAATTCTTCGTAAATGAGGTGAATGATGATTTAAAATAACTTTATGAGCTTGAAAGATTTTTACGTTAGGATCATTACCAACTTCAATGGTAATATCACAGTATTCGTTGTCATTCAAACTTTCGAGATAATTCTGAGATAATTTTGGCAAAAATAATTTTGGTAAAAATTTATTGTTTATTATAATTATTTTCTTCTCTTTCTCTTTTTTTTTTTTCTGGGAAAAAGGAAAATTATAATTTGATCAAAGGTAAATTGGCAATAAATCAGGAAATCATAGTTGCACAACATTGTAAATCCGGATTATAAGCCCAATTAGATTTGATAAAACAATGAAAGATTAATGGTAATTTGTCATTATTATAGCATTGTATTGTGGCAAAGGTTACCTGTTTCTCTGTTGTAAAAAATCAAACACATAGTGTTCCACATTGTGGTAAATCCGTAAATATAAACGTGAAAATTTATATCGTGATATTATCCGATTTGGACCGCCATCTAAGCCATCTAAGATAGGACGAGATGAATTATTAGATAGAAATGCAGTAGCCGTATTTTCTGATCGTTAACGATCATGATGTTTCGTTCGTAAATATTTGTTATCATTTGATGTAATGTTGAAAATTGAACAATTCAATTGAAAATAAAATGTCAAAATAACCAAATAATTTCGTTTCTCGCCCCTCAAATGCAAGCAGTTCATTAGATAATTTTTGTTTTTTTTTAAAAAAAAAATACAAATTAAGAAATATACATAACAACGAAATGATCCTGAATTTCTACGTGTAAATACAAGAAAACTATATAACATAAACACACTAAATTAATTATCAATTTTTGATTACCAAGAAAACTTCGTATTCTTCTATAAAAAAATCACCATCAGTTTCTCTGATCGATTCCTTATAAGAATTTTTTATACAACTACTACTTCTATATAAATTATTTAATGATAAAATAATGTCCCCATTACCAAATGATGGTCCATAATTAGGATTATTAAATATGGCGAAATTTCCATCTTTTATACGACTTAAAATATGATCTTCAAGGTTATCATTATTCTTAAAAGAAAATAAAAAGCTATTATTAGTGACACCATAACTATTAATATTAGAATTCCACGTTATTGGATTATATCCTCCAAGAATTTCATCACTATCTTTTACTTTAATAATTGATACCGTATAAAATCTATTAACACAAATTTCATGAAATTTTTTTGGTGAAAATCCATCACGAGATCCACGAAGTATTAATTTGAATTCATATGTAGAATTCAATTTATCAGTAATTTGTAACCCATTGATCCATTTTGAGATTAATTCAGTATGTTGAAGCGTAATAATTTTTGAATCAATATTTTTACGAAGTTTTGATTTACCGATTGGCTTGTTATCAGGATGCACACTTAAATGATTTCTTAATAAATCCTTATACAAATCTTTTGGTAAAATTTTTTTGTAAGGTAACACTTTTTCCAAAAATTCTTTAGAAGTAAAATTATAAAATTTAATAAGAGGAATACATTGTCGTAAAGTATCCTTTAAAATATAGAAATCATTTTTTGATAAGTTTGTAGGATCAGTTGATAGTTCCTGATTTTGAGCATGACCCCATTTAAGTGCATGTTCCCATACTTGAACTTCGTTCATCTGAAGATTTTCATTTTGAATAAGCGAGATCAAAATATTTTCTGGTATCGAAGTGAAACTTAATGAATTAAATATCCTATCCGGTTCTTTGGACATTAAATCATTACAGTATTTTTGAAGTTCCAAAAAAGAATCATTTTCAAAACTCGTTCGATATATCAAGGTAAAATTTTGTTCCATCCCATTTGTATAGTTTTCAATAAGAGAAGATTGTAAATAACTAACTAATTCTTGAATATTAAGTTTGTTCGCAGCAACCAATATTTTAATGATATCTAAAATATCATATTCTTCCAAAGGAAGTTTCCCCCATAAAGATACCTGAATTTCAAAAATCTTTTAAAAATAAATTCTTATATAAATTCACATATAGTACGTCCTCTTACCTCAAGATTATGTGAAAAATTTCTGGTAAAATATTTGGTAATTTAATATGGACCAAAATTCCATCATTTTTCTTATTAACTGACAAAATTTTTCGTAAATAAGGTTTAAAATTACCATATGAGCTTTAAATATTTTTACGTCAGGGTCATCACCAACTTCAATAGTAATATCATAATATTCGTCATCATCTAATATTTCAAGTAAGTCTTGTAATAATTTTGGTAAGAATTTATTATCAACCATTATATTGAGGAGATTGTTGTTTTGAAGAAAAAAGAAAAACAAACGTGATCGTGTATGGTAGGGTAGTATGGTAATTGTCAACCTTATAAATCTTTTTTTCTGAATCGGGAAATCAAGATCGCACATCGTTGTAATGAAGTTGATATCTTAATTAAAGAAAATTTAATATTATGGGTCAGTCGGTATAGAACTTTCTGCAAATTCGCTTTAATAATCATTATCCCTTTGTTTTTTTTTTTTTTTAAAAAAAAAAAAAAAAGATTCAATGCAATTCGTTCGATGGAAATGAATGAATGATCTGAATGATACGGGAGGTTGGATCACGTGATAAAGGAATTTAAGTATAAATAGTACGCCACACAAACTCCCCTAAAAAAACCAAAAAAAAGTTTAAACCACAACTATAAACGAAACATGATAATGGATTTAAAGGATTATGAGTTTTTGCCTCAATTATCTCAAAATTTACTTGAAAGTTTGGACGAAGACGAATATTATGATATAACTATTGAAGTTGGTAAAGATCCCTACGTAAAAATTTTTCGTGCTCATATGGTTATTTTAAATCGTCGTTCTCCTTATTTGCGAAGAATTTTATCAACTAATAAAAAGTACAATGATGGAAACTTGGTACATATTAAATTACCAAATATTTTACCAGAAATTTTTCATATAATTTTAAGGTGAAAGGAGAATTAAAACTATAAAATAATTTAATTAATATTTTACAATATTTTTTTTTTAATATTAAGTAAAAAACTTTTTTTTCTTTTTTTTTTATTTTAGGTATATTTATGGGGGGAGGCTTTCTTTAAAGGAATATGATACTGCAGATATCATCAAAATCTTGGTGGCGGCTGTTCAACTTAACCTTAAGGAATTAATAATCTATTTACAATCATTTTTAATTAAAAACAAATCCGATTGGATGGAGAAAAATTTTAACCTTATATATAGGACGAGTTTTGAAAATGAATCTCTCTTGGAACTTCAAAATTACTGTAATAAACTTATTTCAAAGGAACCAGAAAGGATGTTTGAATCACAAAATTTTTCTTCAATTCCAGAAAAAGTTTTGGTCTCGCTTATTCAAAATGAAAATCTTCGAATGAGTGAAATTGAAATTTGGGAACATGTTCTTAATTGGGGACTTGCACAAAATCCGGAACTTCCATCTGATCCTGCAAATTTTTCGAAGGATGATTTTAGTTTATTGAAAAATACCTTAAAATCGTATATTCCTTTTATTAGATTTTACGATTTAACCTGTAAGGAATTTTCGAAAAAAGTATTACCTTATAAGAAAATTTTACCAAAGGAATTATATAAGGATTTATTGGATACATTTTTAGATTTACATCCTGATAGTAAACCTGATAAATCAAACCCTCGTAATTCTAATAGTTCAAAACATATTGATTCTAAAGTTATTACATCACAACATGCTGAATTAATATCGAAATGGATTGATAGATTAGAAATTACGGATAAACTGACTTCTTCATATGGATTCAAATTAATTCTTCGTGGATCTCGTGATGGGTTTACGTCTCGTAAATTTCACGAGGTGTGTGATGATCAAACTAATATTGTAGTAATTGTTAAAGTGAAGCAAAGTAATGAAATTCTTGGAGGGTATAATCCAGCCACGTGGAAATCTGGTTACCGTTTTAGCACTACTAGAAATAGTTTCATATTCTCCTTTAAGAATAATGATGGTATTGAAAATTTTATTTTAAGTCGTGTAATGGATGAAGAGTATGCCATACTTAATAACCCTACCTGCGGTCCTTCGTTTGGTAATGGTGACCTTATTTTGTCAGGCGAAGAGAGTTCTTCTGGTTATTGTGAAAGTTATTGTGAAAAAAGTTCTTATGAGAGGCTTATTAGGGAAACCGAAAGTGAATTTTCTGTAGAAGAATATGAAATATTTCAAATTGTAAAATACTAAGTATCGGTATTAACAGTTAAAAAATTTATTTAATTTACTTAATTTACTCTTATTATTTGTAGTATAATTATATTTTATTTTATTAAATTTTTTTTCTTTTTTTTTTTAAAACAATAAAAAAATATGTAAAAAAATTTTTAAGAATTATTGCCGTTTTCAGAAATGTTGACAATCTGAAATTTTGACCATTTTATACCGAACACACCGAACACACCGAACACACCGTGAACACATACAAAAAATTATGCAAACTTGAAGTATTCATGCATAACTTTATATAAAAACTATTTTTGTCACTTTTTAGATATGAATAAAATTGAAAATATGAAAATTTGTACCGAACACACACCGAACACAAACGAACACACCAAACACGATGTGTATAAGAGACAGACCGAACACACACCGAACACAAACGAACACACCAAACACACCGAACATTGGCAAATACAAGCAAATACAAGTGAATACATATATGCAAATAATATAATTTTTATACATTTTTTTATGCACACTACCTAAAAATATATTACTAAAGTTTTAATTTTGCTTTTTTTAAAGGAAAATTTGTTTTTTTTTAATTTTAATTGCTGTGTTCGGTGTGTGTTCGGTGTGTTCGATTTATAGAAATGATCGACATTCTAATGTCAACATTTCTGAAAACGGCAATAATCGGTTACAGAATATATATATTTTTTGTTTATGACTAGAAAGAAAGTTTTATAAATTAAATCATCGAATTCATCTTTAAAAGCGAAGAACTCATAAACAGTGATGAATTTCTATGAATAAGTAATAATTTTATCGCTAATAAATATTCCTTTTGATCTTCAACGCTAAAGCAATATTTGATTGGTCTACTTGATAAGAGAAAGACGCATTGGGACACATGTACTGGTAATTAAACAATGTGGAGAATTGTAAATCCTCAAAAATATGGGTAGTACATTTTTAGAAATTACATGAATGAAAAAATTGGCGTATATTATTTATTTAATCACGGAGTAACCAAGTGTGATTTTCTTTGTATTATATTGTTATATTTCGTCATTGAATTTTTTCATCACTATATTATATGTTTTGACAATTATTACTTTATATTTGTGATATTTTATTAAATATTTTAATGGTTTTGATGATGATTGAAAATTTAATTCTATTTATATATACATATACTATATATTTTTTTCGGGAAAATATATCATTAATTCATTGTATTATTTACTTACAACTTTTAAAAAATTATTATTTAAATCAACCAAAAAAGGGTAACTGGACAATTCAATAAATAATCACGCCAGCCGGCTGAAAAAAGCCACGAATGAATTCAATAAACATTCCAAAATGGGAATCTATTATGATTGCATTTATACCAAAAAAAGATTATCATTTAAGTTAAATTCCTATGAATGGAAAATTTCATAGAGTAAAAAATCTTTGTCTCTGGAGTCCGGATATGCAGTACACACAAACAATGATTAAAGACTTCCTTTTGTTAAAAATCGCTAGGTTTTACAAATTAAAAGTAAAAGAATCCTATACGATCTAACCATACCCCTTTGTGTTAAAAGTATTACATCTTACGATTTGAAAGTAAAATATAAGTTATAAATATAAAGAATATGATTATCCCGAACATTTCAGTTTAATTTAATTCTTTACCAAAAATTTAATTCTTTACCAAAAAAAAAAAAGATCTAAAAAAAAACAAAAAATATTTTGAGATGGCAAATTTAGATGAAAATAATCAAGGTGAAAGTATGGAATTATTAGGCGTGATTTATGGTATAGGAATGAACGTTAATAATATAATAGGAGTTGGTTTGTATATTTATATTTACTGATTTTAAAAAAGGAATATCAATACTAGATTTAAAAAAATGATTTTAAAATATATATGCAGGCATTTTTACAACTCCCGGAATTGTTTGGAAACAGGTAAAAACGCCTCATGTCGTTATATTATTATGGCTAGCCGGTGGGATTGTAAGTCTATTTGGTTCCCTTATTTATACCGAGGTAAACAACATTGTCTATATATAAATGAATTTTTTTTTTAAAAAAAAAAATTATGTCGATTTAACTGTTCTCTGGTTTAAAAAAAAAAAAGTATGGAGCCCTACATAGAGATAATGGTGGAGAAAAAATTTATTTGGAAAAAGCATATCCATCACCACCATTAATGGCAAGCTACCTTTTTAGCTTCATGTTCATATTGTGAGTATAATAATTATTTTCGTAAAAAAAATTTATAAACTCTCCATATAATTAATTTATCATGGTATTATTTAGCGTGATTCGACCCGTGATTATATGCGCAGTATTACAGCTGTCTCTTATACACATCTAGATGTGTATAAGAGACAGGTATTACAGTCTGCTGCGCAATATACATGGTATATGTTTGTTGGAACCTCTCCATTGGATGGAGATGACAAAATAGATCCACTCTTAAATGGTTGGCAAAACAAATTTAAACCTTACTGGTATTTATTTTAAATTTATATACAATCTGTAAATTCTTTTTATTTTCATTATTTAAAATCCTTAAATAATTTCTCTTATTCATAGGATATTGAAATTGATAGCAATTTTTTTTTTGTTATTAATAACAGGATATCATTTGTTAAATAGAAAATTGGCAAATAAGATAAATCATGGTCTTGCAATAACTAAAATGATCGTGATATTGGTAATTGCATTGGGTGGAATATCAAAGTATCATAATAACGAAAATTGGAAGAAACCTTTAGATGATAATTCGATCAATACAGCCGTTAATTCTTATCCTATTGCAATTATTCAAATTTTATTTAGTTATAACGGATGGAACACTCTAAATTATTCTTTAGATGAATTTAGAAATCCTGAAGTAAAATTAAAACTTAGCAATATTTCTAGTATTGTAATTGTAACGATATTATGTAAGTTTTTTTTTTAAAAGTATTTTTTTTTTTTGAACAAAACGTTGTATCTTTTATCTAATCACTTACTTTTATCAGATTTATTGGCAAATGTTGCATTTATTACTGCTTTACCATCTGATGTTATAACAAAAACCGAACATTTTAATGAGACAATTACAGCAGATTTCTTTAAAAGTATTTTTTTTGACAGTAATGTTGCTGCAAGGGTATTATCACTTTTTGTTGTTCTTTCTGCTGTTGGTACTGCTGCAACAAGTGTTTGGAGGTATTTAGTGTAAATTTTTCATTTTTAAAAATTTTTTTTTTTTAAAAAAAAAACATATTAAAAAATTTTTTTTTGATTAGTGGATCAAGAGTTATTGTGTCAGCGGCGAAATCAAATTTTTTTCCAATCTTTTCACCACAATTAGTAAAGTGGAGAGAAAGGGAGATAAATCAGCAAGGGCAAAGAGGGGAAAATATGCGATATACTGAATATACGCCAGTTAACGCGTTATTAGCGCAACTTGTATGGTGTATATTCATTATATTAATCGTTGGTGGATCAATACAAGTTGATAGTTTCGTGCTATTCACTTCAATAGCAACTTTTTCTGTCTGGATATTTTACATTGTTACAAGCTTGGGTTTAGTTGTAAGCATAATTCAAATTCATTTTTTTTTTTTATTATTTAACATTTATTGTTATTTTTTATTCATTTTTTTTTTTAAAAAAAAAAATTTTTAGAAAACACGAAAAAGATATCCTGGTAACCCTCCATTCAAAGTACCACGTTCAATAATTCATTTGTTTATAGTTTCGGGATTTCTATTTATTGCATTATCATTTGTCCCTGATAAAGAATCAATACATCCGTATATAGTTCAAATATCATTTATCTTGGTTAGTTGTATATTTTTATTTATTGGATTTATTTGTTATTTCGGATTATTTCGACAGCAACAGCAACCGATACAACCGCAACAGATACAACTACAACCGATACAACCGCAACAGATACAACCGCAACAGATACAACAGCAACAGATACAACCGCAACAGATACAACCGCAACAGATACAACCGCAACAGACACAGCAACAACAGATACAACAGCAACAGATACAACAGCAACAGACACAACAATAAATACAACGGCAATAATTGTAGCATCATAGTCGACAAAATGTAGAAGAATTATAATTTATCAATCAATGGCATTATGAGTATATTATATATATTTATAGTATTTTCATTTTAGTAGTAATATATATCTATATTATATAGATTCACTGTAATTATAATAAAAATCAAATCATCATTATATACATATTATTTAATTTATAAACGACAGCTTTTGGTGTGTTAATAATCAAGATCAAAATATTAAGATCTGACCAGTAAAAGTTTAATTGAGTGTATGGAAAGGCAAATTAGTTAATTTGACGCACATTCGAAAAGGTGTGAAAGATTTGGAGTAATAAAATCCACAAATAAGGCTGGTCAAAAGGTTTATTTAACACGTGATTTAGGGCGGAATTAGAAAAAATTCTTTGATTTAGGCCAAAACTTGATGTATACTTTAATTCCAGCTCAAATTAACTACCATACTCCGAGATTGAGTACGTATTTCTATGAATTAATTATATTATCAGGAACTAAGGAGTTTGAATATAAATTTTTGCTTGAGCATCGGGCTATTATGGCTTTCGATTCATTACTCTCCAAATTGATCATTAAAATAAGATTTAATTTTGAGATAAGTCGAAAAAAAAAGTAGGGATTTTATATATAACACACATTCTCAAAATAACTATTACATATTTTAAAAAAAGCGGTACTGCAGATTCTTGTGACAAGTTTTTTTTAATATAATACAATTATTCTGATTTAATCGCTGTTACGCACGTTACGCTGAGGCGATCGATTTTTGGAAGGTTTTTATTTTTAACGCGGTACAAAATTTTACACATAATTAATTTTTTATTAAAATTTTCATGTGGATATCCAAATTTTACGGCTAATATTAAGGTAAATATCAACTAAATTTGATACACTAATTGTATTGCCTATATTGCCTTATTTCTTTTGTTTTTTTTAACCCTATATTATCTGTATTATCTGTCCAAAAATGTTCTAAAACGAAAAAAAAAAAAAAAAAAATCATTTTTTAGTACGGGTACTCCTTTTGATTATGACCTGCCGAAATACAAAATATCTTGTTTTATTGGTAAGGTGATACATGGATTTTAATGAATATTTAATAAAATTAAATAATAATAATATATAAATAATATAAATAACAAACAATAACCAAGTCACAAAAAAAAATGGGAGCCACAAACAAAAAACAAAAAAAATAGAGTTAAATATTATTCATGAGAAAAAAATAGATTTATGATAAGTTCAATTGTTTATTCGAATTTTTTTTTTCGGTTAGTCAAGATTAAATAATAACATAATAATGATTAAAGTTCAATTTTAATAATTTTTATATAAGATATTGTCAATATTTTTTATTATTATTATCTTTTTTTTTTATTAAATCTATTTAAGAGATCGGCAGCCCGTCATACAATCACATGCGCTTTTAATATTTCGTATCCGAAACATAGAATGAAAGTATGAAAAAAGGAAGTATCACCGAAACATTTTTTAAGTGTCATTTTTAAAGAATTCGGGGAATATAATAAAATTGTAAAAATTGTAAGGAAATACAAGGAACAAATTAATTTAGGTTTTGTAATTATTTTACTTTTTTGTTATTATGATTATTATGATTTTTTAGTAATAAATTAAAAAAAAAAATTTTCTTTCAATTATTGGTCTGCAATATAATAACGTAGTTTTGCTAATCGGTAAAAGCGATGGTGGTACCAAAAAAAAAGAAAATTATTGTTAACAAAGAAAAAATACTATAATAGTATAATGGATTTTTCGCGTAATGATGTCCAAGAAATAGTTAATTGGCAAGTGATTTGTCGTGATCGCGTTTATTTTTTAACACCGTCTAAAAATTGTAATTTTTAATTGAATAGATCAAAGTATGATAATAACATAAATAACGCACATATACCAATATATTATTCATCAAAAAATACCAATTTAATATAATAATAAAATAATTAATAAAAGATTAATAATAGTAATAATAATAATTATTTCTCAATAATCTCCCACCAAATAATATTTTTTAAAAAAGATCCTAAATATCCCAAATATCTATAATTATTTGATTCTAATAAGTAATTTCAAATGAATTCTATCAAAAATTTAACACACCTCAAAACCAAAAGATTCGTAAAACGGGTGATAAAAATCAGAAACTTCTTCTCGTATGATGCCTATATATTCTCGCCCATTTTGTATCAAAAATTGATCAAAATCTTGATTAAAATTTTCTATAACATATTTAAATTTGAAGTTTCTATAATCACTATTTTCATAATATCTAATTCTATTTAAAGCAAATTGTAAAATTATTCGTAAATTATCATTTCGAATCATTTGATCATTATAAAAATATAATTCACATAATTTGTTATAGCCCATATTTTCTAATAATTTCAATAAAAAGTATGTGATGAATTCTTCTTCAACACAACAGAGATTTAAACCTAATTTCTTCAAAGAACTAGGTAATGAATTAGCGAACGCCACGATATAGTTATCATTTAGCATTGGCGGTAATTTCAATTTCAATTTAAGATGTTCTAACTCTCCCAACACCTCCAATAACCTGATAAACAACCAAAAATCTTTAATCGGTAATTCACACGATAAATGTGTTAAATTATGACAATTTTTTCCTAATGTTGTAATGATCGAAGTATTTATTCTACCTAAATTCAATGTTCGTAGATTTGTTTTGGTCATTATGAGTATTTTCTTAAGACCAAAAGCAACTATATCATCACTAACTGAGAATCCATTTTTTTGTTGTTGATGTTGTTGTTGATGCTCATCGTATATACAATTAATATATTCATTATCTACGCCTACACAATCTTCAACACAATAAATGTTTTTAATGTTCAATTGATTGAATCCAAACTTTTCAAATATGGGTACTCCCCTCATTTTAATATCACAAGATCCCCAATTAACATCCATCATATACTCCTCCCCTTCTTTTCTTTCAAAGATCAACGACTCCAAATTGGTGCAATTTCGTAATTGTTTGATTATACTTGCGAAATTTTTTAATTTCCCTTCAATTGTCAAATATTTTAAATTGGTTTCCTGAGATTTAATGATTTCTCCGAATTCAAATAAATTCTCAGTAATTAAAGATTCGTTAAAAGATAAACCTTCTATTTTAAACTGATGAGCAATAAAATCGGAAATATTTTTAATGAACCGTGTGGTAAATGATATGATATTATTAGATGAAATATTAATTTTAACGAATCTAATTGAAGAAGTGTAACGAGATAAAGCAATGAATAAATCATTAAGGTTGTCCTCATCACTTTGAATACTAGGATACCTTCCTCCAACAAAATGGGTAACTTCTAAATTTATTAAACGAGATATAGAATAAACAAATTCTTTATGTTTAATAAAAAATACTCTATCATGAGAGTTTAACTTAAAATATTTCAAGGATTTCAATCGTTTCATCGACGCAAATAATAAGTTACCAACAAGATAACTTGTATAAATAAATTTATCTTGATAATTTACTCGATAATTATATGGGTCAATTAATATTAACCACCTCTCGATTAATGATTGAAATGTTTGTGAATTAAAACTTTTCAATAATTCTGGATAATAAAAATATGTCGCTTCCGGTGATTCCAAAGGAATTCCCGTATGTAATAAATATGATTTATCTTCATCCACTAAAGAACTGATGTATGTATTTATAATAAGAGGTGATTTTGGACTATCTAAATTTATGTGTTCAAAAGGTTTACCCCATAATAATGGGGTCGCCAAATGACAAAAAAATCGGTTTACGAATATACAACTGTGTAATGTTTTTCTATCATTTCTAAGTTGATAAAAAATTTCATCGTAACACTCGACGGGTATTGGACTATTTACGTTAAACTCGCTAAAGTCCATTTTTTCGAAAAAAAATTTATTTAACTCGCGAAAAAAAAGAAAAAAAAAAATAGAGAAAAAGAGTTTATTTGTTTAGTAAAAATTTATTTGTTTAGTAAAAAAATTGAACAAAATGACAAAATGAACGTGAAGTTTGTTTATTTATATATGGGTGTATATTTTAAAAAAGATCAACAAATATATATATACATTTTATTGCATTTTTCACATATTTCACATAAACAAAAAAGTCACTACAAATTTGAAACTCTGAAACTCTTATCGATCATAACAAAAAAAATTTCCCACAATTGAATTATAAATATTTACAATAATATAAATAATTCACGAGGCGTAGTAACAATTTTGTTGCGGTAATAAGTTCTCCCGCAAATTTTTCAAAAAAAAAAAAGTCTTACAAAAAAAAACAGCTTTTACATATCTGGAAACAAAAGACAAAATGTCAAACGTAATGCTTGTCCACCCATGACTTACTGACCGCAGTAATAATAATGAGTTTTTTTTATCGATTCTTCGAACAAAAAAGAAGTATGATAGAATTTCAAATATTTATTTATTTTATTTTATGTACTGTACAGTAAAAGAATGTGACTTTATAATAAACTCTAAAAAGGGATAGACCGGATAGTTCCTTTTTTAGGGGCTTAACTTTTTTTGGATCGTCAATCGTCATTTTCAGGCATCCCTTCCCATTCCTGAATTAGTTCTTGTTGTTTAAAGATCCGATCTTTCGCATAATTTGCCTCAAGTTTCATAACTTTCATGGCTTAGTTGGCTTGGTTTAATCTAAACGTATTTAACGATAATAATTGGTATTAAAAAAAAAAATTTTTTTATATTATAAAATATAAAACGTTTCCGTCTTATCTATTTCACAATGTTTACTTAAACAGCATTAAAAGTAGCGAAAGATTACCATATATATAATTTATTTATTTTTTTAAAAAAAAAAATTATTTCTCCTTTCAAACTTTAAAATTGTAATGGCAATAATACATGCACTCTGTACATAGAGCAACCATAAACGTGCATGAATCTTATGAAAGATCTAAATTTTATTCTGTATTACATAGAATACATACTAGATAGCAGCCCTTGTGAAACCCGCCAATTTTTAAAAAACCTGGAAACCTTGATGGGGAAAAAAAATAAGTACAGAGAAAGAAAAGTATAAAGAAAGCACGGCAGGAGAAATGGAGAATCTTGATATGCATAATATATTTTACAGTAAAGTCTATCAAGAATAATACCTCATGTCTATCAAGAATGATACTTTTGCCACGAGTAGACTTGGGCAGCAGGGCAAGTCATCACAAAAACAGTAAATATTTTAACAAATTATCCATTTTAAAAGTTTGGTAAGGTAAACAACTGGCTAATACTAATCTAAGATATCAGTTTCTTGTAAAAAAAAAAATAATGTAAATAATATTTGTCAAATAAAAATTATATCATTTCTTTTTATACGCGATGCATCGTCACTTTCCTTTTTGTCGCCACCCCCCTTAAAATGGCGATAAATAAATTAATAGTATGGTGCGTGGCACCTATACTCTTCAAAAATATTGCATAGTTCCTAATTGTATCTAGTTTTTCAATTTATATTTTATTAAAAGATTAAACCAATTTTTATATAATTTAAGTTGTTCTCTTTTAAAAATTGGTTCACATTTTAGATTAGCTTAATTATTAAAAAAGTTATTGGGAGTCAAAAATAAGGCATGTTATTATAAATTAAGCAAATTCGGACTAACTTTGCAGGGGTAATTACAAGGGTAATTTTATAGATTGACCAATAAAATAAGAGATCTTTTATCACGTGATAACAATGTTCAAAAATTTTTTTTAAAAAAAACGAAAAATGCCACCTTTGTCCAAAAATCAAAAGAGCGGTCACATACAATAAATGGCCAATATGATGTTAAAGAATAGTATAAAAATAATCATAAATTAATGCTAGTTAATAATAATAACGCAAAAAAACATTATGATAGAATAATTACAATGAAATTGCTGATGTATCCAATTCTCTTTACAATAATCCAATATTTCAGGTTTGGGTGATGATGGTAATGATGCATTAGTTAGTGATTTCTTTAATAAAACTGAGGATTAGAACAATGATAATGATAGTGAATGGGATAATTCAGAAGATGTAGAAGATGAAACAAAAGAATTTGATTTAGTATGGCAAGATGATAATTAATTAGAAAAAATAAAACAAGAACCATATAAGGTAGGCAAAATACCAAAATCAACCTGATGGCTATTATAATAAATATGGTCCAAATGGTTCATTAACTAAAGCAACAGCTGATACAAAAAAAATTACAAATTTCTTTAAAGAAAAGTGATGCTCAGGATACTGATCAATCATTTAATTTAAACACATTAGAAGATGCTTCAAATGGTTTGGAAAGTGATATCATTAATCCATATACTTATCAAATGACTGAAAAAATAAGAAAAATTAAAAAAATAATTAGAAAAATAACACAGTCAGTTAACAATTACAGAATACAATTATAAAAAAGCAATATTTGAATATTTTATCCTGTTAAACAGTAATAATGGGTGTAGATAGGATTCCACTTACTTATAAGATAAGTCACCCCCAAGCCTAAGGTAAAAATCATATATAAAATTCTTTGCAGATCCTACTATAAAAGAAAATTTTATATTACATTGTTATGATTTTATTACTTTTTAGCTAATTAACCAATAGAATTTAAGAAAAAAGTAAGGTAAAAACTATTAGTAAAAGGCCAATTTTCTACGGTGACCTTTATTATAAGTAAGCGGAATCCTGTGTAGATAAATAGATATCAGTTTAAGGGTTGCACAAAAAATCTTTATTAATGGTGGTATATAGAAAGCATGAAAAATTTGAAACTTTACAAGATATTAGTTAATAAACAATGACCTTTTAGCATCTAGAGGACGTAGAAAATATCAAAAAACAGTTAGAGTGATTGATAATGAAGATGTTGCAGAAAGATGTCATGTTTGGATCTGAAAATAAAACTTTAATACTACATCTGTTGCTTTTAAAAATTTTATTGAATATGAATTATTTTCTGCTATTGGAATTGCTAAAAAGAAGACCATTTATAATATAAGGATTGCAATAAGATGTAAGTGATTTTATTTTTATTTTTTTTTTTAATCGCAGTGCATTTGCAGTTTTATTAAAAAAGAAAAATAATAAGAATATGTATATAAAGTATGATTCTAAAAGCTACTCTAATATAATTAAACTACAAATCACTCATCATATATATAGTACCCTACATGTGTACGTTCAAGTGATTATTAGATTCAGTAGGTAAATAACATTTATAATGCGTCATCTTAACCAAATAGTTCTATCTTTAAAGTTAGGTGATCACAAGACCAATGTAAGTGATTTTAAAAATAATATGCAATTATTATATATAATATTAATTTTAATAATTATATCTATTATAAAAAAAAGGGTTTAAAGTTCTTAGTTATTTATTTCAGCAATATTATCATAAGTGGGATACCACATATAATACAGTCAAATTTCAATATACTGAACTCATGATTTGGAAGTAAAAGTTTGGTATATAGTAGAGTTTGGTAAAGCCAATTTTTATTATATACTAAACCCCTAAGTTTTTTCAGTAAAAGTTCAGTATATAAAGAAAATCACATGATTAATATCACAATTTTGGCTAAAATTAAAGATGACTTAATTTAGGCAAAAATTAAGTGGTTCTAATTCTGGCCAAAATTAATTAATTTCAGGCAAAATTGGAAAATCATGTGATTGAGTTCAGTATATCAAAATTTTTTTACTATGTTTTATAATACGTGATGAATTAATAAAAGTTCAGTATATGTTATACAAAGTTTATATAATGTTCAGTATATCAAGATATTTTTAAATATTATGAAACTGGTTTTTAAAAAAAAGTTCAGTAAGTCGAGAGTTTATTACATCATGGGTTCGTTATATCAAGATCAGACTGTATAAATTATATTATATGTAGTATCTCACTTACCTTAGATTATAGTATCATATGTAATCTAAATATTACATATAATATGAATACCACATATAATCTAAATATCACATGTAATTTAAATATCACATATAATCTGAATATCACATATGATCTTACATATGATCTAAATGATGTGATCTAATTACCATATATAATCTAAATAATATGGTTTAAATACCACATATAATCTAACATTTTATTATTTTTTATATTGCTTTTATGTTCTAACTATGTCTTTAAGTCTTTCTTGATATTCATATTTTTATGCTAATATACTTTTTATTACCACAATATAATCTAATTACCACACATATATAATCTAAATATCACGGTTTTCTTTTTATTTCTGAATTGTTTATATACTAAATTCTATAACTAGGAAACGGGAACCGTTGTAAGTCCAGAACGAAAAACTAAAATTTGCCGATTTCATTGGGTGACGATCACATGGCGGACAGAGAAACTCACGTGATCGATTTTTTTTCATAGTGCGTAGACATATATTGTCCTTCGCTTCGCTCTGGACAATAAAGTTGTTGACCTTTTGTAGTTGTTTAGATACCTAATTTTATGTTGAGATGCTGACTTCTTGCACCTAATTGGGTGCTGGATTCTATATTGGAGTACTTACTCTTTGTGAGCATAGCAGACATGCTCATATCACCTTACTGATTATTTACTGATTACTAGATTCTGCAAAATATCTGATTCGATTTGAATCCGTGAATTAGATCTGAATCAGATCTGGATCAAATCATTAATTTATAATCCATAAATCTGATTAGACCAAAAAATAATGATCCGATTTGAATTGGATTAGATCTGAATCAGATCTGAATCACATTTTGAATCATTTGAATCAAGCAATAATAGCTATCCGAAAATTTTTTTTAATCCAAGAAAAATGTTTTATTTAACAATTTAACAGAAATAACATTTTTTCTTTAGAACTCTTAAAAAAACCAATTTTTTTTTAAAAAAAATCTCACTAACTCTTTAAAAAAGAGTTTCTGTAAAAAATGAGAAGGAACGTCACGAGTCTAATGATAACAAATTGGCAACCAATCAGATGCTAATAGCCTTTCTTATTGGACTCTGACCATTTTTATGAATGCCAATTGTGGTCAATTAATGGCGCAAATCAAGATAAAATCGGAATGCAATATTGGCATTAAATGGGAGAACTAATTTATATATATCAGAATTTACCAATAATATTAAATTGTTAAAATCAATTGCATTTAATAAGTAAATTTATATAAATATAGTGCTCCGAAAAAAATCTGATCTGATCTGGGATCCGCAGATTTGATCCAAGTCAGATCAGTTTGGTTTTCAAAATTTTGATCCGTAAATCAGATCAGATTTAAAAAAAATCTGATCTGATCAAATTCAGATCAGATCAGATCAAACACAAGAAAATCTGATCTGATCTGAACAGATTTCGGATCAGATTTTTTTTTTAAATTAAAATTTTTTTTAAAAAAAAAATTCATTTTTTTAAAAACCCTTTCCTGGACAAATGGACGCCAGACGACCAAGATTTAAAAGAACGAACTAGGTAAGTTCATTTCTTTTTTTTTATTATTTTTACTTGAGGGAACTTAATTAACGGTTTTCTTCTTTTTTATTAGGAAGCCTAGATGAACGAAGCCTAACGACCAGGATTTAAAAAAAAAGAACGAACCTATGGTGAGTTCGTTCTTTTTTTTAAGGTTTTTTTTTATTTTTTATTTAAGGGAACGTAATTAACGTTTTCTTTCTTTTTTTTTTAGGAAACCTGGACGTAAACAAAGTCGTTAACGACCAGGATTTAAAAAAAGAATGAACTATGGTAAGTTCGTTTCTTTTTTTAAGTTTTTTTTTTTAATTTACTTAAGGAAACATAATTAACGTTCTCTTTCTTTTTTTTTAGGAAACCTGGATGTGGACGAAGCCATTAATGACTAGGATTTAAAAAAAGAATGAACTATGGTAAGTTCATTTCTTTTTTTAAGTTTTTTTTTTAATTTACTTAAGGGAACGTAATTAACGTTCCCTTTTTTTTTTAGGAAACCTGGACGTGAATGAAGCCATTAATGACCAGGATTTAAAAAAAGAACGAACTATGGTAAGTTCATTTCTTTTTAAGTTTTTTTTTTATTTTTACTTAAGGAAACGTAATTAACGTTCCCTTTCTTTTTTTAGGAAACCTGGACGAACGAAGTCGTTAAGACGTTAACGACCAGGATTTAAAAAAAAGAACGAACTATAGTAAGTTCGTTTCTTTTTTTTAGGTTTTTTTTTTATTTTTACTTAAGGGAACGTAATTAACGTTCCCTTTCTTTTATTTTTAGGAAACCTGGACACGAGACAAAGCTAAACGACCAGGATTTAAAAGAACGAACTATGGTAAGTTCATTTTTTTATTTTTATTTTTATTTTTTTTACTTTAAGAAACGTAATTAACGTTTCCTTTCCTTTTTTTAGTACAAGGACCAGATCTGAACCAGATTCGGATCAGATTCAAATCGGATTCAAATGGATCCGAACCAGATTCGGATCAAATTGAACTAGATCTGATCAGATTCGGATCAGATCAGATCTATTAAAATAAAAATCAAATTAGATCAGATTTAAGTTAAATCCAGTCTGAACCGATCTGTTAAGAGCACTATATAAATATATTGCTCAAATTTATTTACATTATAAAAACAATTAAAATACTAATTTAATATATTAAATGTCCTATAATATATAATACATAAAGTATTACTCTCGAAACTTATTATCTAATCCAAGAGAACCTACAAAAAGAAGTAAAATAAAACGTTAATAATGTTTCTTAAAAAAAATTAAAGTTTCAAAATTTCAAAGTTGAAACTTATCGATCAAAAGCCCAAAAGAAACTGATATCTAAAAAAAAAAATAAAATTAAGCCAATTTAATTTTACCAATCCAAAAGGCAGTATTAAAGCCGATACCTAAAAAAAGAAATAAAAAAATGTTAGAAAAAGTTATTTTTTTAAAAAAAACAAAGTTTCAAAAAAACAAAAATTTTGAAATTTACCCGATCTAAGTGAAGAGTCTCACCGATACCTAAAAAAAGAATAAAAAAAAAATATTAGAAAAAAGTTTTTTAAAGTTTTGAAAGAACAAGAACGAAACTTTAAAACTTAGAAACTTATCCAATCCAAGTGAAGGGTCTCGCCGATACCTAAAAAAGAAATGAAAAAAAATATTAGAAAAAAAATTTTTAGTTTCGAAAGAACAAGAACGAAACTTTTGAAACTTACTAATCCAAAGTGAAGGGTCTTGCTGATACCTAAAAAAAGAAATAAAAAAACATTAGAAAAAGTTTTTTTTTTAAAAAAAATAAAGTTTCAAAAAAATGAAAATTTCGAAACTTACCGATCCAAAAAAAGATTCAAAAGAAGAACGAAACTTACCTATTCAAAAGAAAGGTTGAAGCCGATACATCATACATACCTAAGAAAAAAAGAAAAAAAATTAAATTTATTATTTTAAAAAAAACAAATAAGTTTCAAAGTAAAACCTTCAAAACTTACTGAATCTAAACTAAAAAATGTTTCAAAATAAATGAAATGAACGAAACTTATCAATTCAATTCAAAGAAAGCCGATATCTAAAATGGAAGTGTTTTTTTAAAAAAGGAAAAAAAGTAACTTTTAAAAGCTCAAAAAGATTATCTTTAGACACAAACCATAATTGACTAGGCTGATCTGCCAATTGATTTATTTTGCTGATTTTGCCATTAGTCAAAAATTTTGACAATTCTTTTTTTTAAAAATTCATTAAAAGATGGGTATGTTTAATTGTTTTAAAAAAAAAATTGTGCACTTATCCCTTTTTTTATAAATTCATTTAAAAAGGGGCAGATTTTTAGATGTTAGAAAAAAAAATTTTTATTTCATTAATTTCATTATAAAGGATGTCCCTTTTTCTTTTTTAAAAATTCATTAGAGAGTGAAGTAATTATATTTAAGAAAATTTTTTTTTTTTACTAGCACTTTTCCCTTTTTTATAAATTCATTTAAATGGGCCAATTTTTATATAGAAAAAAAATTTTATTTCATTATAAAAGAATGAATTTTTTAAAAATGTTAAAAAAGAAATTTTTTTTTATCACTGATTTACCCTCTTTATAACATTATTAATACACTATGGAAGTCGGTGATGATGATAATGGTAATGAACAAGATTTTGAAAATGAAGTTTTACTGACAGTGGAAAGTTTTAAAGGTAGTATTGTCTAGATCTATTTTACAAAAGATCCTGATTTTAAAGAAAATAAGAAGGCCACCTGCAAACATTGTTCTAAAGTTTATGTGTATTTTGGGGGCAACACATCAAATTTAAAGAAACATTTAAAAAAACATAATATACAAATGAATTAAAATCATGGACAAGACATTAGAGAAATGTTTAGCTCTTCTAAGGTATATGTCTTTACTTTATTTCTTGTAAAGTTTTTCAAATTTGAATTTCCATTATTAATAATAGTTATTAATTAGTGGGTTTATAATAATGATACAATGAGAGGAAAACTTGTCCAATAGGTTATAATGAATTAACAACCCTTTAGCGTTGTTGAAGAACTAAGTTTTATTGAGTTTATGCATTCATTCCATCCCAGTGCCTTGGTATCCTTAGTAGACACGATCAAGAGAAACATTTACAATCTTTACAAAGTAAATGTTAAAAAGATTAAAGATATTTTGCAAATGGTGCCAGAAAAGATATTATTTACAACCGATATCTGGACTTCCCTCTCAACCAAATCTTTCCTGTCCTTAACTGCCCATTTCATTGATAAAGAATGAAAGTTATGAAGTGTGATAGTTGACTTTATACAAATGTATAGATCTCACACTGGCAAAAATATTAAAAATACATTCATATTAGGATTAGAAAATTTGTCAATTGAAGATAAGGTAATTACTTATTCTTAAATTTATTCTTAAATTTAAGTTAGAATAAATATATTTAATTTGTTTATAAATTTTATAGCTATTTGGAATTACTCTTGATAATGCCTCAAATAATCAAGTATTTATTAATGAATTAAGTAAATGGGCAGATCAAAATCATATCATTTTTAACAGTGAAAACTACTTTAGATGCTTTGTGCATACAATTAATATAGGTGTACAAGAATTTTTAAAATATTTAGATCAAGAACTAGGTTTAAGTCAGGTTAGAATTTTTTTATTTTACTTAATTTTGGTTTATTAATTAATAATTTAATTTATTCATTTATAGCTCAGGCAACTTCTTAATAAAATTTGTGCATCTACTCAACGGTGTGAAAAATTAAGCCTTGCATGTAAGAATAATAGTATTGATGATTTAAAACCTATAATAGATGTGCCAACAAGGTGGAATTTGATGTGTGAAATGATTTCAAGAGCTTTATTAATAAAACCTGTAAGCTTTTTTACGTACTATATTTACTGTAATTTTGTATTATTACTTATTACTTTTCAAATTAATTATTTATTGGGCTCTTGATATTACTGCAATATCTGATCATGATCTCAAAAGCTATACACTTACAGAAGAACAATGGAATGGACTTAGAAAAATAGTGGATTTTCTTGAACTATTTAAAGAAGTAACAGCAGTAATTTCAGGAAGTACATATTCAACACTTTTTATGATGATTCTATTATTCAATTTTTTAATTAATCATGTAGAAGATATTATTGGAGATGAGAATGAAAAAGTTAATGATGAAAATGATGATGAAAATGATGATGAGAATATACGAATTGAAAAATCAATAAAAAAAGCTGCTAAATATTGCAAAGATAAATTATTGAAATACTATGTCAAGACAAATAACGTGTATTCAATAGCAGTTATCTTAGATCTGAGATTAAAAATACAATATTTTAAAGATGAAGAGTGGGATGATGATTTAATAAATGAAATTAATCAAAAGTATGTACTTTTAAAGTTTTTGATATATTTATTTAATAATTATATTAATCATTAATTTTTTATTTAGTTTTGTGAATATTTTTAATTCTAATTATGCCACTACCTCCTTAAATTCCAACATTTCCTTCACCTCAAAAGAAAAATCAGTAATATCACGTGTATTTAAACGTCACTATGGAAAATGTAGATAAATTTAAAACATATATTGCTTTACCAACTGTTTCTGGTAAAACTTTGGATCCTCTCAAATGGTCGCGAATTAATGAAACTCAATATCTACAACTTAGTAAGATGGCCCATGATTATTTAGCTATACCTGCTACAAGTGTACCATCAGAGCAGTGTTTTTCAATTTCAAAAAATTTAATTACAAACAATAGAAACTGTTTAATAGGAAAAACAATAAGAATAAGTATATATTTGAAATCCTAGAATTATTTATTGAATAATGAATAAATAATTATTTATTTTTAAAATTATATTATTTTTTTTATTTTATTTTATTTTTTTCTTAGTATTATAAATATAAGTATCATGTCAATAAAGTAACTAATCTAATATCTATCTATATAACTAAAAAAGGTTAAGTGAAATATAAGTAATGACTATAGGGAGGTCAGCTAAATACACTTTTTTTGAATAATAGTGTAGTTAGCCGAAATATTCAAATAGCAGTATAAATGTGTAACTGTAACGTTTTGAATTGCTATTCCGTATTCTTTATAAGACCCGCTTGATCAGCAAGTCATGTTGTATATCTAATAGAATTTTTTTTTTTTTTTGATTATTAGATTACCGATTTATTTTTTTTTCAAATATTTATTTTTTTCATCATTTTTTTTTTTAAACCTATTTTTAAATTTTTTTCCTTTTCTTTCGAACCGATTTGAATTCTTTCAGTTCCCTTTTTTAATTTTTCTCTTTTTTTTCTTGAATCAATCTTTTATTTTCAGTTCTTTCCTCTTTTCTTTTTTGAACCACCTTTTTCCTTTTCTTTTCTATTCTTTTTCCTTTTTTTAAAAATTTTCATTTTTTCTTTTCCTCTTTCTTTTTGGTTTAGTTAAGAATTTTTTTGGTTTTTTTTCATTCTTTTCCTGTTTATTTTCCCAAACTAAAATTTTTTTTTTTTTATAAATAATCCTATTGTTTTGGTCTTTTAAGACTGATTTTTTTAATACTATTTTTTTTCGGTCTTTATTTTTAGACCATATTATTAAAAATTTTTTTCAGTCTTTTTGGACCTTATTTTTCAGAATTTTTTTCGGTACTTATTTTTTTTACGGATTCCTTTTTTTTCAAAAATTTCCTTTTTTTAAATCAATTTCTTTTTTATCCTTTTCTTTTCCCCTAATTTTATTTTCATTTCTTTTTCAAATTTTCTTTATTGTTATTTTTTGGGAGATTTTTTCGAATTCTTTAAAACCTTTTTTTTGAGTTGGTTTTTTTTCCAATCTGAAAATTCTTTTTTCACTTTTCTTTTTTCGGATTGGCTTTTGACTTTTTTTCCAATTTGAAAAATTTTTCTTTTTTTGGTTTGGCTTTTTTTTTGTTTTTTCTCGAACCATATTTTAAACCATTTAGATTTGGATTAGTGATCAGATTGACGCTGCAGCACCACAGTAATTCTTCTTAATAAGAATATTTTCCCTAATTATTTTTTANAATACTTTAAAACTAAAATGTTTGCCATGAACCCTTTTTTTAATTAAAAATATAAAATTGAATCAGATTCAAATTGGATTTAGATTAGATTCAGATTAGATTCAGATTAGATTCAGATTAGATTTAATTTGATTTGGATCAAATCCAATTTTTTTAAAATAAATCAGATTGGATCAAATCTTACTATCTAAATCTGATCTGATCTGATCTGTGCGGAACCCTACTAGTACCTGAATATTTCATAGCGTTACTGAGTTTCTTGAAGTATTTGAGGTTTCCTTGCGGGATGGTACCACATCTAAAAACACTGTGCGCCTATCATCATTCTCCATTCTGAAAACATTTTCATTAGTTAGGACGATGGTAGACATAAAGTTCTTGTACTATATTGGTGTCTTGTGTTTTCATGGATTTCCATTATGCCACCTATTACCTTATCCTTCAAAGAGCGATACAGATTATTTCACTGGTTTTTTTCTGTGGGTATTTCCTCGAGAAGGAGAAGGACCTTGCCTTGTAACTGCGCATTGAAACTACTAAGAATCGTCTGAGGATCGCTGGTCTTATAAATGAGTTGAGTGTCTAGGATACTGCGTTAGATGAAATCTGTTATAATACTCTTATCCCAATCCTGTCCTGATTTCAGGTAAAGAATTGAGTACATCTTCCTTTCAGCAGATATACTGGCCAACCATTTGATGATATATTTGGTGAGATTCCAATCACCTGAACACCAGATATCCTGAATATGGGAGAAGATAAACTTAACTGCAAGATGGATCTTAGATTCAAAGGTGGATATTGGACGCAAGATGTGGAGAAATCCTGGAAAGATATTCAAATAGAGTTGGCCTGTTGAGGATCTGAAGATTCGCTGTTTATGAGGATCACAGATTGCAATTAAGGTTGCCTGCCTAAACCTCTCCAAAATTTTACGATTAGCTTTTCCAAGATTTTACTATAGTTTTATTATAGTTTTGGCAAGGTTTTGGCAGTTTCGGCATTTATAATAAGTTTTGTCAGGTTTTGCTTTTTTCCAGAATTTCGCCAACTTTTTAATAAGACTTTCATATAGTTTTGGCAAAGTTTCGCTATTTCAGCATTTCGCCAACTTGCCAAAACCTTCTAGTTTCTCCAGCAACCTTAGTTGCAATACATACATCGGTATTCTCATACATAAACCACTTGTAGATGTTGAATTCAGTCTTTTAAGAGGGACTTTGTTCAGGTTGTATGTAGAATGCCTTAGTGATTGGATGGATAAGTTTACCAATATTTTTGTCAATAATATGTTTCAAACTTTTACTATCTGGGTCCTACCAGAAAACCCCATGAGGATCTGCATAGGAAATAAAATAACTGTAAAGATACCTCTTGACTTGATTGAGATCACTCATACTCTTTGCAGCGATAATAAGCCATTTAAGCTCATTGATACTGAAGGCTTTCTTTTATTCGTCCAAACTTGAAAATAACTTGAACTTGAGTAGTTATTTTTTGTTCTATCAAATCGAGATCTAATTTGTAGTTACTTAATCTTCAATTGCTGAATATTTTTCCAAAGATCTGCACTCCTACCTGGCTATTTCTCTGCGGCTCAACAGACTTTCTAGGGACCATTGCGTGTCAGAATGATATGTTTACTTGAGTATGTTAGAGGTTTGGATTACCGCCCCTATTGGTCACTTGCTCACTACGTTCGCTCTATATAGAGATAATCAACCTGCTAACCAAGAGTGTAAACTTACCTGCTGACCTACCTGCTGACCTACCTGTTTACTCAGTTTGCTATCTCACTGCTTCCAATAGGAAAATGAACGGAATCCTGAAAGTGTTTCAGATTGTTTCAGAATTTTTGATCTGAGGGGTAAAAATAAAAATATTTTCTGAAAAGTATTCCTGCCTACTTTTACCAAAATTGCCGAAACATCTGAAACATTGAAATACCCCCTATGATTCTCTCTTATTTTCCTCTCTTTTTCCTTATTTTATCGTTTTTTAGTATATTATTATATTTTAGATCTAGTTTCAGATTGTTTCAGATATATGGAGTATTCCTGAGCCCCATAGGGGTCAAATAGGTACTGTGAGACCATGAAGCCAAGATGGGTAGAGCCTGTGACACATACATCCAGCCCGATGATAATAGAATGCCAATTGTTCAGCCAGAATTAATGTTAATTCTAGCTAAAATGATTTATAAATTCATATTATTAGAAATTTTATTATATATAAAATTGTGATACCCATTAAATTTTTTCTATATTCATTAAGAATAATAAATATATATTTAATTGTTTCAAAAAAAAATAAAGTTTATAGGATAAATAATTCTCATTCAGTTATTTTAAACAAAAATATTTTTATATTAGTTTTTAATTTAGGCCAGTTTATAAATTTAAGCCTGCATTATATTAGTATTAAACTGGCCAAATTCCTTTAAATTTATTCAAAACATAGTAAAATAACCAAAATTAAAACTTATATATCTTATGTTACAGTAATTCAATTTGAAAAAACTCTTTGTTACATAAAAGTATACTGTTTAAACTACAATATTACAGAAAGTTTTTTTAAAAAATATTGATTAAATTTTTTTTTCTATTTATTTGAAATCATATAATAAAAAGTGGTGGCTTTAGACTGTGTGCACCATATAATAAAAACTCAAATAAAAATTAAAGTACAAATTTATATTATTTGTTTGTTTCATCTTCTATTTCTGGCGATTCTTTCATTCCCATTGGTTCTGATTCTTCCACTCCCATTGGTTTCGATTTTTCTATTCCCATTGATTCCAATTCTTTCACTCCCATTGGTTCTAATTCTTCTATTCCCATTGGTTCTGAATTTTCTATTACTTCTATTTCGTTCATTTCTGCTAACATTTCTATATTTTCTGCCATTATTAGATTTTCTTCTGTTTAAATCAGTGTTTCTGGCTTAAAAAAGTCAGTGTTAGCTAACATATTCTGCTCTATATAGGTCCAATTTGAAGTACCTCATGGATAACAAGAGACAATATTATATATCTCATCATTATAATTTCACGTTTGTATTAATTGTGAAAATTGAAGAGAGAAAGCGTTGTTAACCGATTTGGTACGTTGAATAGATTAACTATGATTTGCAGTCAGGGAGATTAAGTACGTTTAACTATGACTGAAATCCAATCAAACAAGACACGCTTAAAACAGGGAGTTCATTTATTGTGTAAAAGGTTATACTTTATTATAGAACTTTATAATTACAAGAATATGGACTAATAGGAACTAAGGTTAACTAATTCGAACTAAACTTATAACGAAGGAAAATACTAACGTTATTTATATAAAAATTATTACATATAAAGATATAATAAATATAATAGATATAATAAATATAAGAAATATAACTAATATAAGAAATATAACTAATATAATAAATATAATAAATAAATTAAATATAATAAATAAAATAATTATATCGATTATATTAAATATAATTAATATAATAAATATAATAGAAATAATAGGCTAAATAGGCTGCGGCTAGGTCGGCTTGGCACAGTTGGACACAGTAGATCCTAATTTTCCACATGATCTTCTGGCGTAGTAAATTGTAACTCTACACGTAACTAGGGGTAACAGCATGTTGGTCCAAATATTTTATAATAAATCTATTAACTATTATTAAAAAAATTAATTCTATTACGAAAAAAATAAAACAAATAAAAAATAAAAAATAAAAAATACGATAAATAAGTTATTAAACCTCTTCAGATCTTCAAG